ATGTTTAATTCATTAGCAGACGAATGCGCACGGCAAATGAATTCATTTCCAGTTCCCAATTCCCAGTTTCAGTTCCAACGCAAGGTCGTCAAAAGTGGCAAATAATGTTGTTCACTTGAGTGAGGCCAAAAATAAAGGCAGATTAGGGTTATGTTTGCTGTAGTTGTTCATTTTCGTCTGTGGGTGTGTAAGAGGGAGAGAGAGAGTTTTGAGATAAACTAACAGAATGTTTTTGAAGAGTGGGGAAAACGGAAGCAGAATGCGCTAGAGAGATTGCGGCATGGTAGAGTAAGAGAGAGCGGGGCAAGCAGAATAACAGCTGTGCGTCCGCCTGGCCATATGACATTTAATTAGTGCGCAAAGTAGAAGCTGATGTTGCTTCACTCTCCTCCCCCCTCTGCAAATCCCCTCAACTTGCGATTTGCTATCAACAAATATTGTGTTATCTATATATAGCAGGGAAAATGCGGTTAAGATTATGATCAACACATGGAATTTGTTTGTATATATCAGAGATTATTATCTTAAATTATAAATAATACAATTGTGACACATGTTTAACACAATAATTAACAAGGCATCAAATCGAAGCCAAGCCAAACCAGTTGTTAAAAAACAGCCCAACGAAATCGAAGACCTTTAAGAAACCCTATCCTATATATATAACATTGATCCCATCATTGGATCTTTCTAACCATATTTGTTAAATTCAAATTTCGGGTAGAGATTAAATTTAGACAACATATTTTTAAAAATAAATTCTCTACACCTAGAAAGTTAGAGTAGTTGACTTTGTTGATCCAAACGAAATAACTTTTTCCAATTAAAAAAGTCACTAAGCGGAACTTGTTAGCTGATGCTACCTGTTATCAATATTTGCCTACACCAGCTAAATAAATATAAACAATATGGGGAAACTTTAAAAAAAGTAAATGGCAATAGCGATAAGGGAAATTCTTGTACGAATTTCAACTGTTAAAAGCAGTAGCAAAGTTTTCGAGTAATTCCTGTTCCAAATTCTTGTGGAATTTCTAATTTAGCCCAACTCAGCTGGTTAACAATCACATCAGCATGCTGGCCACTTTCTTTTACGCTGCTTTTGAAAACTTTCCAAGCAAAACAGAGGAGTTTAAAACTACATAAATTGTTACATAAAATGTGCGATGCTATCTGAAGTTTGCAAAATCAGCTAACTAAATAAGCCAAAGCAATGGGTTTAATTAAAACCAAAAACTGTCGGACCAAATACAGTGAAAGTTGACACGTAGTGAACAGCCGAGTGATGTGTGTGGCCCTCTGCAACATGAGCAGCAGCTGAAAAGGTTTGTAGAAAAAATATGTACACCGCGAGAAAAACACGGTATGGAATAGTACTCATAATTCTACAAGCTTCAAGTAAACTTCATTCTTATATAAGTCTTGAATACTAGCAAGATACTTTCAAAATAAAAACAAATCTTAGATTAAGTACAGCAATTATGTGTCATATAATAATGATTTAGAAATTATTTTTGAAATAGGAATTTTGTTTTTATGTTTTGCAATTTGAGCATAACATTCTCGATAATTTCTCTAAGTGTACATACATAAAGTAAAACCGTTGCAATTCATTGAAATTTGAAGTTTTTAAGGTTTAACAGAGCTTTGTGTACATAAAAGGAGGGGAGCAAATGCGGAGGAGTAAAAAAAAAATAGCGCCGCGCCAGTTGCCGTTAAAATCGAAAAACAATCAATGCTAAATGTCGCGTCAGTTTTGCATTGTTTATTGCTGTTTGTTTCTCTTGTTTTAGCTTTTGATACTCGTTTTAATGCACGGCTCAAGTGCCCGTCGAGCTTAACGCTTTGTCATTGTTTTTCTTATATTTTCTTTCAAGCTATAGACCGAAGGAGTGGCTTGGCGACAGCCATTGAACTGCCTGCCGCGGTCAGTGACGTCATGTGGTCTGTGATGTTAAGTGCTGCAAACGTTTTGGGCTTTTGAGCATGCTGCAGCACTCAACACAATTGGGATTTACAACGGGAATGAACAACTCCTTAAACTAGGGCTGTAACAGTGCTGTTAAGTTTGCAATTGAGTGTATGCATAGAAGCAGAGACAGAGAGAGAGACTCTGCTGCTATGTGAGGTGCGATCGTAGAGCGCTGACTGACGAAGAATAACGGAGAGAACAATAATTACAATATTTTGAGTGACCAATTGATTGGTGATAGCAGTCTCCTCGCGCTGTTGACACGCACAGGACGTGCTGTATCTCTATATATATATGCAATTTTTCCAATAATTAACATTTAACAATCAATATGTGTACAAATATATATGTCAGTTAAGCAACTCCCACGTCGCAGGCGCATTTGTTGCTCGACTTAATATTGCTTTTTTTATAACCCACACGCTTGCGTGACACATTTTACCAGACGCTTCGTCTCGCCCCCTCTCTTCGATGTCTGGTAATCTGATCTCCATGTCCCGTCGTCATCAGCTGGCGTCAGCAAGCAAACAGTTAGCTAATTTTTCACAGTACAATTATTTATGGTTATTTTGCAGCATCTGTCGTTTTACGCGACACCGCAAAGCCACAAGTCACAATGAAAATATGTTGCTAAGCACATGCATGTTATGTTGCTAACCGATCATTTTGTTTAGCTACATACTTATACATACGTGTGCATGTTGCTGGCAAGATGCCAATTTTAGTTTGCCGTTTTATGACGTCATAGTTGGCGTGTGAGCAACGTGGGTGTTTTATAAGCAATTATGTGTGTTTTATTTTCTTCTTTTATTTTTGTTGTATTTTTGTTTATTTTGTTTTGTTTATTATTATTTTTTGATTGCTTTTCACTTTTCGCAATCATTGCGCTGTCATTTTTAATTGACTGTTTCGATTATTTGGGGGCTCCGTGCATGGTACGTCATGAATATTGGCCAATTGGCGGCGGCTATCTTATGCCATTTATCTCTTTCAATGGGCCTGCCAAGTGAAAGTTTTTTGTTATTGCCGAAAAGTTCATTGGCAGCGCAAAATGATGCTGGCAACAATGTTGCTTATATGCACATACATACGTATTCTAGCGATTACAGACGACAAAAGGCAAACACCAATAAGTATGTTAACCGTTATGAATCATCACAAACACACATTCGTAGAAAACTTTCAAACTGTACAGCAATACACAATACACGCGAGAATGCAATAAGTTATGATGTGTGTGTAATTAGAAGATACGCACAAAGCAACAAGCGCGAAATGTGTAGAAAACAAAACACAGAGACCCGCCAGAGCTTGGAGATAGCAGCGGAGCAATGGAATTATAAATATGTTCATATGTCAAATGTTTACTTGTGATAAGTGGCGCAAAAATATTTATAAGAAATATGCTTTGCAAATAAGATAGCTTAAATAAATTTAAAAATATTGGTTTGCTTTTTTTTTGGTTATGACAAAAACAAGTTAGTTGCCAAAATGAGTCTTTGTTGCTATTTGGGTATACGACATTGTCAAATATAACAATGGTATTCCGTCTAATTATAAATCGATAACTTCTCAATGGAATTTCATTCATATGCCAAGCGTATGAAAATTACTTCTAGTGATTACAAAATTTATTTAATAAATATATTTATCACATAATTTATTTTAGTCTTCGATATATGAATAATACGTGCAAAGAATTACTTTATATTTATAGATGGACTTTCTTGTATTTGCGCTGACTCCTCAATCTGACACACTGACTTGGACTACGCAACTTCAGCTGTTATTATCACAGAATGCGGCTTATCTTTTATATTATACACTCACTCCCATATACACACACTCACATAGCAAACGGCAACATTTGTTGTTTTGCTGCAAAGCAATGTCAAGACCCGCAATATTTTATATGCATTCATTTTCTAAATGGTTAGGGCCTTACCTTTTGTATAACAACGATGACGGCGATGGCGACAAAGACGACGGTAAATCCGTAAAGCCAGCAAGGCAGTTTTTGTTTTCTTATTGCTTACTTATTATTTTTCGGCTAGTTATTTCCACATCTGCAGGCAGAAACAGAGTTGCGCTCTCTCTCGTTGTGGTTATTCGTTGTTGTTGCCGCCTCTGTTTTACTCTTTTCACACACTCAATCACACACACACACTCACTCACACAAGCATAACTTGCAATTTTGTTGGCCTTCTAGAAACACAAAAGAGAAAGAACATGCAATATTGCAATAACAATACTTGAAGCTTTTGCAACGCTTTTATTTCACTGTATTTAATCCCGTCTTTCTTTGCATTTCACTTTGGCTGCACTTCGGCCGACGCCGCCGCCTGGCGTCACGCCCACCTCACAGAAGCGCGCCAGAGATGAGCGATATTCATGTGTGTGTGTACCTGTGACTTTTCAAAAGTACGTCCAGAATCGAAAGTAAAAGGCATTTAGCTATAGTCACATGCTTTTTCAATTGGCTCAAAACTTGACAAAGATGTGTGAAAGTTCAGTCACAGGCACAGTGGAATTGTCACAGTATCGCTCATCTCTAGTGGGCACTGTAAAAAGCTGAATTGCTTCATCGCATCAATGTTTAACACTGATTGAAACGTGAAACTTGCACTTGAAACACTCTATGCAGCTGCAATTGCTACAAGTAATGTTTTTCACATACATTTACATTTAATTTATGTACTTGATTAAATACCAAAGATAAAGGGAAAATGCACCGCTAAAACGACCGTGCGCACCATAGAGAACCCGACCGAACTGTTGTGTGTGACTGCACCTACCATGCGCTAAAATACACACGGCAGTGTGGCCGTATTCCACACCATTGTCGATAAATATTGTAGTCGATAAAATACTAAGAAATTCAAGTTACGGGCTTACGCATTTTGCGTCCGCAATACAATATCTTAGCGCCAACAGAATCGATAACACAAATTCAAAATGCAAGAATACATTTAGCTATTCTCTGCAAATTCAGTTTACTTAAGATGTTAAATTATTGCAAATTCACTCATCATATCGTTATGTGTGTTTATTCATTTGTATTTGTTTTCTATGTTGCATACATTGAGTGTTTTTTTTGTTTGTTTGTGATATCGCAAGCATTTTTTCAATTTTGTTTCGTTTCACTTCAGAATACATAAATGTTTACACGCACGTTCGCTTACAATGAGACGACGGATATAAAATCAACTAAATTATGGTACATAAATCAACATTTAGCATACGTAAATATAGTTTCATAAAACATAGCTGGTAATGGTAAATAATTGCAACTTAATGCTAAACTTAATAATCCGCCGCCAGCCGATTTCTAGCGCCACTGCTCTCCTAAATTTGTACACAATTCGAAGGTATCTCATACTTAGATCGCACTATCCAAAAAGAGTTTGTTATCAAAAGCATTCGGGTGAATTTCTTTAAATATAATTACTTCAGAATTAACTAACCTCGTGTGTGTGTGCGAGTGTATTTGGGAGGCGTTATATTCCATTATTTTTGTTTGTTTTGTTCGTTTCAATTTCAATTTACAACTAAAAATTTTGCGGTCCAAAAAGAATTGTGGGAAAGAACAGAATAGAAAATGGCGAGTAAAGCTCGATTATAAAGGTAGAAGTATATATATATATATGTATATATATGATATATAAATATTGTAACTGTATAACTGTGTCCATCCGATTTGCATACTTTACATCCATTTCCATATTTGCATAGCGCACATCCAACACGCCCCCGCATGCCCCCACCCCACAAGATGTATATAGTATATATATGCTTGTTGAATCTCGTTCTGCTTTAGGTACGACGTTTGCTGTTGTTTGAGTGTGTTAAACGTGAATGGACAGAAAGTAGATGATCGCAGCCAGCGCAACACAGCACAACGGCAGGGCACGACGAAAGAGGACCTGGTGGTCATAGGCCAACGGCTGTTTAAGGCGCAGCTTTGTAATCTCATTGCGCAATTCCAGATTGCTACTTTCCGATTGCTCCAGGCGTTCCTTGTACACGATTAGCTCCTCTTCACGCTCCACTTGCGCATTATTCATGGTTTTGAGTTCCTCGCGCCAACTCGATAGCTCCCCATCAATATCCTTGCCATCATCATTCGGCAAGAGGGGCTCCAGTTCATCGGTCACGAGATCATCGGGTTTCTCCTCTGCTCCACTAGAACTGCGCGGATGTGGTTGCTGCTCCTGCAGCTGCTGTTTAAGCTTATTCATCTCCTCCTCCAGAATGCTTATGTCGCTGGCCAGTGTAGCCGATCTTTGCTTGTAGAATAGACACTCTTCGTGCAGCATATCCATTGCTTGCTCGTTCGGTAAATCATCCACGGACTCATCGTTGCGCACCAGCGTTTGCTGTGTTTCCAGTTTATGGATGGACGACTCTTCGGCCGCCTCATCGATGCCATTGAGTCGGGTGTGCTTGGGCGATTTGTGTACGAACTCATCGAATGCCACCTCAGCTGCGGTGCCCCCCGTTGGCGATGAGTCAACCGAATGCGGTTTCTGTTCGACCTCCTCGTCGCCAGAGTCGGCAGCATTAAATATGGCTTTTAATACATCGCCACCATCCGCGCCCTTGAGATCCGAGTTCTTGAGCCACTTCATCATGGTGTCTTTGCGTACCACCTTGTGCTTTAAATCGAATTCCTCCTTCTGTTGCCGCTTGCTCTTCTTACACTATTCAAAAATGAGTCGACATTAATTTGGGGTAACTTAAAATGCGGATTCACTTACAGATTTACGTTTACTTGGTGTAGTCTGTTCCTTGTCGAGTAGCTCGGCCGTCTCGCCGAGCTGTGCACCTTTATCTACCTGATATTCGTCTTTATTATCAGCGCCACTATCATGATCGCCAGCTTCCTTATCCTCGTCGTCGTCGTCGTCGTCGTCGTCATTGTCATCGTTGTCATCCTCCTCGTCGTCGTCGTCGTCGTCATCATCGTCATCACCGACCCCGATGGCAGCATTCAGTTGCTCCAGCGTCTGTTGCTGCTGCAGCGCCTGTTCGCTGTTATGATCAGCAATCGTTTGCCGCAGTTGCAGCAGCTGTTGGCGCATCTGCTCCATTTCGCTCTCCTGTGCGATTAGCTGCTCATTGAGCTGCCCTAGTCGTTGCTCCTCCTGTTCTTTAGCCTCTTGCTGCTGGTGCAGCGTTTCCTGCTTATATTCCGTATATTCCTGCTGCAGCTGATCCAGACGCGTATTGAAATCCTGCAATGTCTGCTTCGAGCTTAATATCTGGGCGCGCAATATGCCGCACTCGTTATCCGAGGTTGTGTACGCCATCTCCATTTTTGACAGCATTTCCATGGCATCGCAACGATCTTGGTAGACCTTGCGCAGCGCCTCTTTGGCAGTTAGCTGATACGAGGTCTTATCCTCAAGCAACTTAACAACCTGACAAAAAAGATTGAATGATGTATTAGTAACAAAAAGTATCAAATTGTGATCTTAAAAGTATGCTACGCCAATGTTAGCCACACCCAAACCTTGTTGCGTAGGAGTTAGATAGGTGTGCTTTAAATTAACCTTTCATTTTGTTACATTTCTAAATGGTAAACTAATGGAAGAGATTTGTTTGCACTACTCCTATATTTGGTATGTTCAATTAGTCGACTCCGCAAATGGAAACTACGACCACAAGAGGTTATATACATAAAATGCTTCCTAGTTAATTGAGCGCAACGGAACAAATGCACTGTAAATGTGAATTAACCCACCTCGTTACGTAACGCATTTTCGGGCACATTCTTTTCCATCATTTGTAGCTTTTTCTCGAGCAGATTGATCTTGTGCAATAGCTGATCCTCGGTAATCATGCTCTGCCAGCACAAGGCCGCGTTTTTACGCGTGGAATCAATAACGCCCTGTAAACTACTCAGCTTGGCTTTGAGCATCTTCTCGCGCTGTGAGGCCTCCTGTAAAAATGCATTGAGTCGCTGTATTTCATCATAACTGATCCGATTTGGACCCGTCAGCTGCAGCTGTTCAGACTCTATTGAAATGGCCTCGCGACCGTCCGGGAGAAACAGTGTCACGCGCGCAATGATACAGCCATGGACTTCCTGGCGTGAATTCTCGATAACCTCAACGCCGAACTTGACGGTATCACCATAGTGCAGCTCGGCCGGGTCATTGCCCAGCTTGTTGTCGTTGATGAAGGTTCCATTGCTGGATTTGGTATCCTTAACCCAAAAACGGCCGTCGGGCGTATACCACAGCATGGCATGATTGCGCGACAGCACCTTGCAATCGAATATGGCATTGCTCTCGCTCGCCTTGCTCTTGGCAATCAAACGGCCCACTTTGCACTCCTGGTTTGGAGCCAGCAAAATGTTGCGTGTCTCGAATTTGTGCGATTTACCCTCGCATTGCAGGACAATCCTTGCCTCACCCGGCGACATGTCCTGTGTATTGAGCAGCGTGTTGGCCGCCGTCTCATTAGGCAATTGTAAGGCACCCATCGAGCTAAATAGATTGCCGCTCGTCGTATTATTGGCATTAAGCACCGAATTCATAGCCATTTGCAACTGCGCCTGCTTCTGTGCCAGCTGGCCCTGCAAACGAAAATTCAAATTCTATATTACACATATATTAATGTATTTCAATTCGAATTGAACTCACCTGCAATAGCGTGTTCGTATTGGAATCACAGCTCTCTGTTGCACTCGTATTATTGTTCTCCTGATTCTCCAGATTGTCGTTGGCATCGTTACTGCTTAATATGCTGTTGTTGATGTTGATGCTGTTGCTGTTGCTATTGCTGTTGCTATTGCTGTTCTCTGTGGACAACTCACACGTCTCGGACTCGTGCTTCTCGCGCGTCAGCAACAGTTGCTGCTGCTGCTGCTGCTCCTGCTCAGCCTTCTTGCTGAGCTCCATTTTGTTGTGGGCCTTCTTATTAATGCGCTGCTGGCGCTTGGACAGCTCTCCCACAGCGGCGGCGACTCCACTGGCAACAGCTACTGGTCTGGCGGTTAGCTCTTGGTCCGTTACGTTGTTTACTGCGGCTGCAACTGCAGCAGTTGCAGTTGTCGTTGTCGTTGCTATCGCTGCTGATGCTGCTGCTGCCGCAATTGGCTTCTGCTCGTCATCCTTATTGCTCTGCCATTCGTTGCTGACCAAGACCATAACTGAAAAGTGTGAAATGCGCACAGACAGTCATACAGTAAAATGTATATCTGATAAAATGTAGTTAGCTGGAGAGGTTGAATTTGATTGAATGTTACAAAACTTCTGTGCACTAAACAGAACGATCGGTATGTTATTAATGACAGCTGAAGAATTTTAAGTCAAGGCACTCCAGATCGAGATTTGATTTAAAAAAGAGCCGCATTCAAAAGCATCAAATCAAAATAAGCATACGGTAGTCGCTAACAAAGAATAATTAAAAATTCTAGAAGAAATTTCATTTCTAAAAACTGTATTCAAATTTAAAATTTAAGATTAAAATATTTAATATATACTAGAAATGCAATTGTAATATGTATTATATAAAAAACCCTTTGAAATAAAATCAAACCATGACTAAACCTTATGCCATGAACTAAAGGCGAATCATCTGACAAATGTCTTTCACTAATTCAAGTCAGGATCCTCAGTCCAAATTTAAGTTAATAACTAAAATCGAAAATTCATTTGTTGCAAAATAGCCCCACATTTGTTATCTATGCAGGATTCTCTAACATTTTGATTTTTTCAATTTTTCAATATCTGTTTACAATAAGAAAAAAAAATACTTCAGTGCAGGCGCAAAATAATGTTTCGTATAAAAATAGATTTTGAAAATATAATTGAAGCGGTCAACAAATGCGAGTACTCGCGTGTGTGTATGCGTCTCTGATGTGTGTGTGGGAGGGGGAGGGGAGAGGGCCACCGAAAAATGGTTTGTTTGTGTATGTGATCGGGGCGCGTCTGCTCCACTTTGGAACGCGCAACGAAAAGGGGCAGCAGAAATATGAGCATATGTAAATATACATATGTACAATATATGTATTTATGTGCGTGCATTATATTGAATAATTGTGCAATAAACTGCGTGTGCGGAGAGACAGAGATAGAGTTAGAAGAAGAACAACAACAGTAGTAGCCAAAACCTACAATTGGGTAGAGTTGCCCCCTTACCTTGCAGCACTAGTACATAGCGGCGATAGTGGGCCCATGGCCCCAACGATAACAACAAAAACTGTTTGGATGGATATGGCAACTACAGTTGACGTTGATGGTGTTGCTGTTGTTGTTGTTGCTGCTGCTGCAGTTGGGCGTCGGTGGGAGTGGGGAAAACTGCGAACAATGCAAAACTTTTGTTGTTGATTGGCATCAAGTACATAGAGCACAACAAATGTGATCAGCGCTGCGCCGACGTCTGTCTGCCTGCCTGCTTGCCTGTTTGTGTTTGTGTGTGTCGCTGCTGCAGTTACTGCAACTACAACAACAACAAATACTATTACAGCTGCAGGCAGTGGCTGGCTGGGCACGAGTTCAACGTGGACTTATGGGGGCGAGTGGGGCCTGGAGTGTCAAGACTGCGTCTCGTATTGTTTTTTTCTTCTCTTCTTCACTTAAAAAAGTTGATACACAAATTAAGTACTAGCTGCTGCTTAATTGAATTTAATTACAAATGGCTGTGTGTCGTTGACATTTGGAGAATTTACCGTTCTGCTGCTATCTGGTCGTTTGCTTTGACTTATGTATTCGCACAAAAGAAGGAAGGAGAAAAACAAAAATCTTTTCTGCGCTTGTTGTTTTGTATATTAAGACACACGCACAATAAATTTACTTGTTAGTATATTCGGAGCTTCAAAACTCACCTTGGTTATAATGTTGTTTTTGTTAATCAATTTTGCAACACAGCGAAAGCAAATAATATTTGCGATAATTGTTTTCAGTTCTCAAACCAAACCTCTGCACTAGCAATGTGTACTAGACACGATACAACTAGCTATTGTGAGTTGTCACAAAATTATCACAAGCCTACTTTGACTGTGCTGACAGTAACTTGGCAGTAAAAGAGGGTTGCTTGGCAAAAGTGCTAAATTTGCGTAACCAGAAAAACTAAAACGTAAATTAATATGAAACATATTCAAATTATGCCCATTAGACAACTGATTGGTCGTACCGTGTATGCCTGATTATATTTAATAGAGTTGTCATAGTCAGCTGCAGTTATCGATTGCAAACACACGCGACTCTGTTTTACTAACATCGATCAGGGGAAAAATACAACAAAATAAAAAGAGGGCGCTGTGCTTGAAACACATGTAACTCATTGCAAAATTGTTTATTGGCTTAATTTAATTGAAAGCTTTTAAATTTATCAAAATTATAGAATCCAGCACGCACTTGTCGTCCGCCAAAAAATCGACCATTCAAATCTACAACAGCTGTAAGAAGAGAGAGTATTATATATATGCTAAATCACAGTTTTTGAAATTTAAAACCCACCCTTTATGGCGCTCTCAATACGTTTAAACTCTACAAATATTTTGACGGCATCCTCCGGAACCGTACCAAAGGCCTCGTGTATGATAACACTGTTGACTTCACCATACTTTGTGTTGCACTCATCCTTGACCTCAGGTTCGAGTTCCTCATCCACATCGCCTGGTCCGACCATGTTCCGAAGTAGAACAACTTTGCTGGGCGCCTTCATGATTTCGGTTATGCTAGGCTCGGGTTCACTGGGCGGTGCGGCTACTACTGCGACTGGCAATGGTGGCGGTGGCATGGAGGCGGCAGCAGCAGTAGGACAAGGACTCGAAACTGACGGCGTTGCGTTCACAGCGGGCAGTTGAGAGAGCGGTGGGGAGGTGGATGGTGGTGGTAAAAATACGTCCTTTTCGTGTATAATGCGACCGCCGCGCTTTGATGTCTTCTCCACTTGCAGCGCTACCGACATGCCCTGCTCTGATTTGCCCAATCCCTGGCCATCCTTGAAGCCGTATTTGGCCATTATCTTTGCTGCCACCGAGCTGGCAGAATATGGTATGGTTACATTCGAGGACCCATCCCCATTGTCGATGGATAGCGAAGGTGGTGGCGCTATGGCCGCACCACCGCCCTGTTTGGCAACTGAACCTGGCGCCGGCGGACTGTATCTGTCTTCATCACTCTGTCGCTGACCAAAACCACTGAATTTCATGGCTGGTGGCGAGGTGTCATGATTATGTGTCTCCCGGCGTCCGCCACGGTTGCGCTTACGATCCCGATCGCGATCCCTGTCTCGGTCCCGATCGCGCTCTTCTCGATTGCCACTTCCGCCACTGTTGCGTGACTTGTCAGTGCCCTTTGTCTTGTCCTTCAGTTTCTCGTACTCGTTGGGCCACTGTGGATCATATTCGTCCACAAAATCCCAATCATCTGTTTTAATGTTCTCCAGTGCCGGTGGAGGCGCCACTGTGGTGCTGGTGATGATTGGCCTGGCAGCGACTGTCATGGGCACAAAATTTTCTGCGTCTGCGTTGCGTTTGGTGCGCAAATTAACAACCGGTGTCATGAGCTGTGAATAAAATGTAATTAATTTTTATAGATACATATGCGCAGTGAATAGAATTTCACTCACCGGTTTCTTGATTTGATCCCTCGTCTTGGGCTTCGGCAGCTGGGCTTTTTTTACTGCCAACTGCGTTTGCAGCATTTTGATGCCCGAGGACCATCCATCCATTTGGGTGGCGCGCGGCTTTGCGTCGATGTCGTCGTACAAATCCATTTTGTACAAATTTTTTGTTTATTTATAAACAATATAAACGAAAACTTTTCGCCTCGGACCTGGTGCCCAGCGTTCAGTGCTATACAGAAATGCAATTGCGGGCTTTTGCAACACTGTAACATAAACATATGCTAATTTTTTTCGTTAACAGTTTTGTTAACAGTTTTGCGTTACGTGACTGTTAGCTATACGTTGCACTTGATGTTAACCTAACATAAATGTTATTCGTTAATGTTTATAAAAAATGGGCAATGAAGGCAGCAAATTAAAAGGGCTAATAATTGACAAAAATGCCGTCGAAGTTAATGATTTTTGGGCCCTATATAATGCCGAGTCGCCAACAACATGCAACGAGGAAGGAAGCGATGGCCAGCTACTGTCCATATTCAAGGGTGAGGTTCTAGTAAAGGGCCAGCTATGGGCAGCCCAAGGGCCAATGGAGCGTGCCATTAAGGTAAGTTCCACATGTACATGTACAAACCAAATGGCTGAACACTAAATGCCGTAATTGTGTGTCACAGAACCTGATGATCTATCGCCATCCGTACATACTTAAATATATGTCAACCTGGGATCAGTCCGGACAAAAACATTTGGCCACGGAGCGCGTGAGGCCGTTAAGCGATGTGCTTGCTCAGCAGAGTCCGATACAAGTGTGCCTCGGCCTGCGCACCATATTATGTAGTCTGATATTTCTCATCGAAAAGGCACTGGCACGACATCTCAACATTTGCACACAGTCAATTTACGTGACCGACAAGGGCAGCTGGCGCTTGGCCGGCTTTGAGTACGTGTGGAAGGCCAAGGATTTGAATAAAGAGGTCTTAGAGCTGGCGCACAGTTTCCGGCAGCCCCTGGCAATAGACTCCACCAATTCCGAGCTGGGTCTGGAACAGTTTGCCTTTGCCACGCTCTGCGAGCAAATACTGGACAACTGTGGAGCGGTCAGCACGCCGCATGTACAGGAATTTCGGGATTATTGTAGCACACACTTGAAGCATCAAAACATCGAGCTGCGTCCCAAGCTGTCTGCTGTGCTACTGCATCCGTATTTCAACCATGAGTTCGTCCTAATACATTCCTTTCTCTTTGAGCTGCCGCTGAAGTCTGTGCAGGAGCGTCAACAATTCTTCAGCAATTTAATCGAGCGTCTGCGCTGCTTCGACGAACAGGTCGTTGCCTCTCAATTGGCCAGCGATCTGCTCTCACGAATGGTGCTGCTAGATCCCACCGCCCAGCACTGCGTCACACCGTATGTGCTGCGCACCAAGACAGAGAATGGCACCACGGCTCTGTTTTCCCCACAGACCTATTTGCAGTATCTGCTGCCGCATATACTGAAAATGTTTCGCCTGCGCGATGCACAGATTAGACTCATTCTGCTGGACTATTTCATGGAGTACGTGCGTCTGCTGAGTGACGAGCAATTGCAGTCTGAGATCTTACCGCATTTACAGATGGGCATGAACGATACCAACGATGTGCTTGTAGCCAAGACATTGCGTTCCCTGGCCGATCTCGTGCCCATTTTAGGCGGAGCCACTGTGCTCGGTGGGGATAGAAGGCGCTGCTTTTCGGATGGAAGGCCGCATGCCGCCGTATCTACGGACTGCAGCACACCTTGGACAGAGCCACGGTCCATAACGCCGCTCATGAATGGCAGCGCCGTGGATGCAGTTGATTATATGGTGTCCGGCAGTCCGTTGCCAGTTGAGAGTAATGTGGCGCCAATGCCACTGCGTCTGAGTCCTGATGGCGGCGAGGACGATAAGAGCGTTACAAATTTAAGCGAAAAACCCCTGGAGCTGAGCCAAGGCAGCAGTCCCGACAGCAGCTCCGGCAATGCTGACAGCTCCACCAGCAGTGCGGCGCATGAACAGACGCTGGTCAATGATGAGGAGGAGGCCTGGTCCGATTGGGACAATACGGATGAGCTGCAGCGTCTGAATGTCAAACAGGAGGCCATGGATGAGCTAAATCTAAACAATGTGGAAACGAATAGCAGCACCTCCACACAGGCCACACAGCCTTCGCTTGCCGACTCTTTCCGCACCGCCTGCTCCAGCGTCTCCACGGACCCAAAGAAACCAATCCCGCCGCCACCGATCAACCGGCAGCTCATTGATGATCTCAGTGCGCTGGACATTCAAGTGCAGCTGACAACGCCGGCCAATAGCTCCGAGCCGGCTGAATTTGATTTTTTCAAGGACATGGAACCGATCATTGAGACAAAGAAGACCGTCAGCAGCGAACCGGAGGTCGTGCAAATCGATGCCAGTCGTTTTGCGGCCACATCAATTGGCTCCAATGATCATGATGTGGATGACGCAGGGGATCAGGGCTGGGGCCACGACGAGGACGAGGACGATGTCGTCTGGGGTAGCAATGGGCAGACAACCAATGTCACTTAATTATTTTAAGCTTTAAATAATCAGCAGCCGTTTCTTTTTCCATGTATTTATCCTCACTTTGCCCAGGTTGAAAATTTCGAGTTTCTTGTGTTTTAATTTTAAGTACATATTTGTACATAAATATATATTAAATTCCAATACGCAAGGGCAGCGTATAATTATATGTACATATATGCATATTTTTTTCTAGAATATTTTCTAATGTCCTATTTTATATTTCAATGCATTTCTAAAGGGTTATTTTAATAATTTTCATAAAGCTTGTAACGCATTAAAGAAATCAATAGCTCTGTAGAGCTAATTATATTATACATATTTTTGACCACAAATCAAAACAAAAATTCTATATTCTCTAAGGGTACAAACTTTGAATAGCTTCAAATTAAACGTCTTAGGCAATCAAAATATAATAGAAAAACTCCATAAACATAATAAAACTAACTGGAATAGTTAGTTTAATTTAGTTTATGAATTCTAAACAGAATACACTATAGAAATAAAAGTGTTCTTTTTCTGTCTCATCATTGGCAGCTGGGAATGTACAGATTTGTTGAAAATTTTAACTTCTTTCTTGAGAGAATAAATTAAATTGTTGATGCCCCATTGGAGTACTTAAAAATACAATACATCATTTGGCTTTTAAATAAAAAAAAATAGACAAAAATACGATTTAACATATGAGTGAATGAATGAGGTAAATAAATAAATTAATTAAAATAAATGACTACAACAAATATTCAAAATAAAGTAAACTCATCCTTATCAATTCACCGTAATTATTGGGACTTCAATGTTAGACTGCATAAGGACCCTAACACCACACAAGTGAGGTGAAAAGTCTTGAAGAGTAAATCATAAGAAATAAAATTGATGTAGAGCATCAACAATAAGACAGAGGCCGAAAAGTAAATAGATGGGAGCAAAGACCGAAATTAAGCGAGAGAGAGAGAGAGAGTTTTCTATTTATAGATTACAGTTGAGCGCGAGAGCAAAAGAACGCACTGCAAAAGAAACACAAGCAACAAGCTCGTTGAGAGGCTTACCAACAACAGCTACTCAGGTCAATTAAATGCTCAGCACAAAAATAATCTAAGTTCAATAAATATTAATAATTACTTGGCATTACTCGGCACGCAATCGCGACACAAAAACTGTTCCCAAACACATATTTTGTATTTCTTTACATTTTTGGTTACACTGTAACTTTTTAAATTAAATTCAAAGCACGTAAAAAAAAACACTCCTTATCGCTTCTCTCTTTAATTTGCGCAGAACTGCAGTTAGAGCTATCAAAAAAAGAGTTGTCAACTTCGAATGGATTAGGTATAAAAATGCATACACACTCATTCTTATAACTGATAACCGTGGAAATATAATAGATTTAATACTATTTTCCGCTTATGGAGTGGATTTTCCTATTGATGAAACACTTATCTTATATTTTATGAATCCGATCGGATGATAGGACTGGATCCGATCTTAACTTTGTATTTGCACGCATAGTTGTATTTTTAATGAAATCCAATACGCAGTCGGCGGCGTAGAATTGTATGTATGTATATTTTAATGCATTTTTTGTTTTTTTTTTTAATATAATTTTTAAAATGTTTTTCATGTTGTTTTGCATGCATTTGTTTAATTCTCGTTTAAAACTATTCTTGTAAAATTTTTAAATATGTATTTCGTTTTTTGTTTAGCAAAAATGCTATATTTACGCAAAAACATTCTAAAATGCAATTGTTTATATCATTTGACTATGACTTATTAACATTTAAACGATCAAAATGAGACTCAAGCGATCTTAGGATCAAACAGGCTAAATAGAAAAACGAAGAAAAACTAAATTAAATAAAATAAAAAAATAAACACTAAACATGTTTTCAACTATTTCTCACGTTTTGTTTTTATTTTGCTTACATTTAAAAAAATTTAATTTTACTCAATAATTTGTTGTTTGTTTGCTTTGCAGCATCATTATCATGCTCAACTTAATCAATGATCTTAGTAATCGTAATTACATTATTAAATTTAAATAAGATCAGCTGAAGTGTTTGTTATTACTTTAATTCTCACGAGTTTTCTTTTTGTTTTTATGTTTCTACGCAAACGCAATAAAAAAATCGGTGCGGTATTTGTTTACAATTAAAAGTATTTACTGCACACTGTTGCGCTCTTTATACATCATGCATATGCGTAGGAAGGGCGGGGAGCTCGAGCAGGATGTGTGGGTAAGTGAAGAGACGCTAAGCGGTATTCTAATAGGAGCTTGAAGATTGAGGGGCGGGCGGATAGAGGGTAGGAACAACACTGCCAGAAAATTCAAATTGTTGCACGTATTTTGCATAACTTTTTTATAGTTTGTTTCTTTTTTTTTTTTTGTTTTTTGTTTTTTGTTTTTTTCTCATTGTGTTGGAAGTAAATCTTAAAAAAAAAAATAATAAACAATAAAACATTTATATAAAAAAGCATATGTTTTTACATGGATTTTCCGAAACAAGTATCAGTATCATACTTCATTGTTTTTCTCCTTTTCACTTATGCTTACGGCTTGCTTGCTTTATCGCTTCTTACACATGATCTTCTCTTTAGTTTATGGATTTATGTTGGAGTGTGTGTGTGTGTGTGTGTGTGTGTGTGTGTGTGTGTGTGTGTGTGTGTGTGTGTGAGTGAGTGAGTGAGTGAGTGATTGTATGTGTGCGATTCTGTTGGATGAGTGTATGTGTGTGTGTATGTGTGTGAATATTGTATGCTATTGATTCATTATTGTAGTAATGGATTGGTTTTCTCTCAGACAGCCGACGCATCCGCATTCGCATCCGCATCACAACAACGCATCCTTCAATTCAGCTCCTTGTCTTCTAAGTACTTGTATTCAAAGGTGAAGCCCTCCTTTTTGCGCTGACTCCATTTCTCATAATCGAAGTAGATGTACGTACCCTGAAAACAAAGTTAATCATTATTTATTTATTAAATTAGATGATCCGATTTCAATTCCTAGGATAATTTTTTTGCTTGCTGAGCCAAAGGCCTTTCTAGCCAGTGCTTTTCAACAAATTTGGTTGATAACAATTAAAAGTTTAGTGATAGAAGCTATATACCCTTTAATTGGAAAATAGCACACAATAACCGAGAGTAAAGCCCATAAATTTGATTTATGCGGTTTACAAAAGTTGGTTTCCTTTTCTAGAGACGCATGAGGTTGAATGAGAGAACGCTTGAACCAAAATATTTTGCCCTATGATAGAAACCAGAATTTCCCACATAATGTTTGCTCAATAGTTGCACAAAAATTGTCGGTATATTGTTAAAAACAAGTGAACTATCAAAAATAAAGTTTAAAAAATAAAATTGAAATATAAAGGCCTGGCACGAAACTTCGAAGAACAACCATTTCGGTTTTCTTCCCGGCCACAATACTTGAATAAGGACCCAAAGAGCCATTTGAAGCAAACACGACGATCTTTTCGCCTAATCATATATATGCTAGCTATAAGCATAGTAAGCTAATAAGACCGACTACAATATATATATATATATATATATAATATATAGCCAATATTAAACTAATCGCGAGCATAGATGCAAATTATTCTCACCTGTTCGTAATCATCGTTGATAATTTTAGGCTCCTCGTGCCTTTGAAACCACATCATGTATTTGGTGTGGAAGCGCCAGCTTTGCTTTTTGAGCGCCTTGGCGGCGAGATATTGCGCCTTGGAGCCCTCCATGTAGTAGAATACAAAGAAGAGCGTCTCCGTGGAGAGTCGCTGATAGAATTCAACGGTATCGTATATGGGCAGCTGTGCCTTGGATGCGGAAATGGTTAAATTATAGCCATGAAGGATAACAATTGAATCAATGTACCTGACTCACCTGGGGATAGTGCGCTGGCGTTTGCACCGGTGAGCGATGAAAATATGTTTGTAGCTTCTCAGTGTCAATCGGCTGTGGCAGGTGATAATATGCGGCTTCCATCATTTGGAACTGCAGCTGATGCTCCTTTTGTAGCGGCGTTGGACCCAACGGCGTTACGCCCAGCAGCGGTGGTATGTGCGCCTCCGTTGTTGCAATTTGCTGCTGTTGTTGCTGTTGCTGCTGCTGTTGTTGTTGCTGTGGTGTATGCGTCTTGGCATTGGCTGCGACAACGACACCACCGTTGCCGGTTGATGGCTGACCAGCAGCATTCGCCAGATTCATGAGTCCACTGCCCGCTGTGGGACCATTGCTGGCTGCAGCAACGATGGTACCGATTGCTGCAACAGCTGCTGCTGCCGCTGCTGCATTTTGTTGTTGTTGTTGCTGCGCTGCTGCTGCGGCTGTCGCTTGTTGTTGTTGCTGTTGAAGCTGCTGCTGCTGTTGTTGTTGTTGTTGCTGCTGCTGTTGTTGTTGTTGGTTGGCAGTTGTTTCAGTACTGAAATGCTGTTGCAGCAGCGATTGCGGCGCTGCTTGCTGCTGCGCTTGTTGTTGTTGTTGTTGCTGTTGTTGCTGCTGTCTCGTGTCTATATTACTTGCCTGCTGCTGATTTAGGGAATTTGGCTCGATCACAGATCGATTAATGGCTTCCTGTGCCATGGTTTTCAATGAAATCGCATCGACAACATTGCTGTTGTTATTGGTGCTGCTGTTGCTACTGCCACTGCTGCTACTACTGAGTGAGACGGGCAGACCTGCAAAAAAATGAATTATTTATTAATTACAAGTTTTAAAATAAACGAGGGTTTAAGTATCCTTGCATAGATATATAGATAGATGTGCAGCACATTTCTACATCTACATTAATTCTATTCATTTGTTTCTACATCAATTTTATGATAGATACAATGTTGGTCTTATGTAGAGAACATATCAAACTTGGTTAAAATATTTTGAATAACAAATAATATAGTTGTTGTGCAACAAAAATTCGAAGCAAATGCTAAAGTTGGTCAAGATAGCTTTAAAGTGAGACTAGTTTGCATAGAAAATGGCAAGTATTTATTGTCTGGGCTGTTTATACTGATCTAGAATTTATCCTCTCGAAGGATATAACAAGAGTGGACAGTGTACTAGGTAAACCCCCGTACCCAGCTCAAAATTGCTGTCACATTCGTATTTATAAACCCACACGCACACATGCTGCAATCTAATTACTGGTTCCGTCACCTTGGGCTCCGCACCTTCTCAAATAACGTCTATGTTTATCGTTATGCTTTGTGTATGCTATATGAGAACCGAAACATATATAGCGACCCGTGGACATAACATAGTTCGCGATGGAATCACCTAGCCAACAACTAAACCCTTAACCTGCTTTCAGTTTGTAGAAACACTTAAATTAAGTATAAATATATATAAATAAAAACAAGATCGACGCAGCTCGTGCTGCTTTGTTACCGAATAACAACTTCATGGTACCTTATTTAACCCACTTATTTAACAAGCAGAGCCTGAATTAAAGCGACCCTGAGTATAGCCTTTATATTAGCCAATGTCAACAATATATTACCGTTTTGCATGTGTGAGGAATTCGTTTGAAGATTGGATAATTGCGCCGCCTGTTGCTGCTGTTGTTGCTGTTGTACCTGTGCGCTGGCACTCACAATGGCGGCCACCGTGGGCGCTGTTGCCTGCTGTTGCTGCAGCACAGGTCCATTTTCCAGTAGTGCTATTGACAACAAAAACAATTAAAATAAATAATATTTTCGTTAGCGAGTATTAAGTGTGGAACCTACATGTGTTGTGTTTAGCCACCGCTGCAAATGCAATAGTTGGTGTCGCTTGAATCACAGATTGGCCTTGAATGTTGTTGGTGCTGTTGCTCGCTGATGCGGCAGCGGCAGCCGCTGCTGCTGTTGCTGCTGTGCCAGCGGACACGGCAACATTAACTGCACTCAGACCAGGCGTTGGGGCATGTGGCTGCACGGCAGGATTGTGACCACTGGCAGCGACATTGCTGCTGCTGCTACTGCTGCTGCTGCTGCTGTTGTTGTTGTTCTGTGTCCCGCTAGACGCCAAAACGGAAGCGACTGTGGGTAGCTGCTGCTGCTGCTGGTTTTTGCTGGGCGTTGAGCTGATAATCTTATTGACTTGAGCTGCTAAGGAATTTAAATTGTTTTTCAGTTACCCATCGAATTGGCATTGCATTTAGGTACTCACTATCACTACCCGCGGGTGCTTTTGCTGTAGCACGCACTGGCGTCGGCTTGATCGGCTGTTGAGGTTGCTGCTGCAAATGGATGCGTATAAGTTAGATCAGGCTACAAGACTTCATTAAGAAAGTTAGAGTGTAAAATAAACAAATAAAATATACAGCTTTTTATGCTGTGCTGGTATTTTGAATCAATCAGTATCAACAGCCGAGTCAATATAGGCCATGTACGTATCTTTGTTAAAGGAATCAGACCACCTTATCATATAGCTGCAATAGGATCTATCGGTCGGGTTTCTAAGACAAAACTTTTGTTTATAAGATATTGTATACCAACTTATTTCTGCTCCCCAATTGTGGTTTCATTTTTTTTTAATTTAAGCTTTGAAACTGTTACCGTTTTACGCTTTCACGGCGAGGACAATCTCATTTAGAGTAGGAGATATTTTTTTTTGGTTGAGTTTTTGTATTAGCCCGCGGTTTAGATAGGTATAGCAAAATACGTTTGTGTCCGCGAGGGTATTTGATCTCGGGCAGGCCAAATAAAATGTTGTCAGGAGAAATCATTTACCTTCGCTTTGCTGCTGTTGGCATTGCTTTCGCTGCTTTTGTTGCGCTTTTCGCCACCTGTTGTCGCCTCGGTGGACGTTGTCGCTGAGGATGAAGCTGCGCTGGTGTCGCTCGCATAGCCCACATTGTTGCCATTCGATTGCTGAGCGGCGGCTGCTGCCGCCGCTGCGGCTGCAGCCTGCAAATGCTGAAATTGGGCTGCACTTGCGGCGCTTGTGCCGCCTGCACTGCTGCTGCTGCCTGCCATTGCTGATTGCGGTTGTGTGGAGGAGGATGGCAACACCTGCTGCACTGTAACTGGCGATTGGGATGGACTGCCGCCGGATGTAACGCTGCTGGGCGAGCCGCTGGTTTCGTTGCTGTTGTTGCTGTCCGTTGTGGCCGTTCCGCTTAGCTCGACCTCATCTAGACCGATAATGTCGTCATAGATGAACTCGTTTTCCTCAAAGTCCGGCTCTTGCGATGAATCAATATAGTATTCGACATCATCCTTGATTTTGTTCACCTGATCCGCTTCGACACCATCGTTGTCCAGCAGTCGTAACAGCGTTTCCAGTTTGGTTATATGAAATTTATGACGATCTAGCTTACTCCGTAAGTCATCCATGCGCTCCTGTTTGTCGCGATCCACACGTTTCTTTTTGCCCGCTAACAGGGATTCAATTTCGCTCTCATACTGATCTATTTGAATTTGCAGTGTACTAATTGAGCCGGTTAACCAATTACGCGCATGATCTTTGATCCGTTGCGCTGGATCCATCTTTTGTGCGGCGCCCAGCCCCTCCTTGGAATAGGCTTTTGTTTTTGTCTCACGCTCCACAACCTTGAAGCGTTCCATTTGCTGTAAGGATATTCAAATGGACACGATTAATAACATAGGTCTGGATAGTCGCTAGGAGGGATTGTCGATAGCTTATCGATATTTCGAATCATTCTTAATAACTAATTATAGACTTTTATAAATAAATGTTTCAACACAATTTGCCTTTAACAAGCTGATGAAAGGACAGTAATTTAAAATTTGTGATGTAAGTAATCTTAATCCGTCCTGCTTTTGCTCTTTGATTAATCAATATTGATAATATAAAGGGACGAAATGTTTGTTCTTCTAAAGATCAAGCATTCCATAGCTATGAACACAACTTGCCGTTTCAATGAGCCTTCGATTCTCGAGCAGCGCGCTTTTATCTTTGATCTCGGCGGATGCAATCCATGATTTGATTTGATCACGTAATCGCTGCAGCTTCTTAATTTCCTTTTTAAGGTCTGCCTCATACTTTTCCTGCAGGTGCTTTTGCTATAAAAGAGTAAAGAAGAAATTAGGAAATTCAAACGTAAGCGCTCGTCGTGGGCTCACCTTCTGGTTGGTATTTGTTGCATTGTGTACCTTTTTCCATATATCCTCAAACGTTTCCACGCCCTCGCCTACCTTTTTTAAACATCGATCAATTTCACCTATCGGGATATCGATAATGTTCACAGAATCAGAATTTGAAGACACGCACGAATATGTACATATATATAAATATATATATATATACAAATGTATGCAAGGAGAATTGTGCTTACCTTGCAATTTTCTCGTCGCAGCCATGGCTATGTGTGCTCTTGTGGTTTCTGCTGGCGCAAATAGTTAGACATAGTCCGCTGCAAGCTGTCGCGATTGTTTAGTTATATCACCCGGCCGCAACACAATCTCCGCTTGTGTGGTGCTTCTGGCTTGACCAGAAGTCGACAACGGCGTCTGCAACATAAAATTGATCAATGTTAAATATGCATTAATTGCGCACATATACACACACACGCGTAAATGCGTGCACCGTACTTTTGACGTGTGCCGCGGCGTTGGTGTCAGCGGCAGAATTATTTCCATTATTTGGGTACACACCTGAGCGTACTGTTACTGTTCGTTGCTTTATTTACCTTAGATCCAAGTAGCTTCACTGAAACGTGTGGGAAAACACTCTCTGCCTGGCTTTGGTTCTTCTGCCTCTTTTTGCATGCACTGATGTGTGGCCTGTATGTGTGAGTGTTGTGTGTGATACCTTCGGGCCGTCGGAGATTTCGATTTTTTTTTTGGCTTAGCCTTTTTGGGCAAACGCAACGTGGCAGCTGTGCTGGGATTTCTTTTATATTGATGAGTAGAGCATTAAATATGTGTGCTTGTTCTTAAATTTAATGATTTATGCAATTTATACATTTAAATAAATACGCTTAAAGATTTTTCGCTTGCTTTTTGTTCGCTTCTTCTTCTTCGCACATTCCAAGATGGCGTCTCGCCAAGAGTTATCGAATATAAACGATTGCGCCATAAACTTTCGATAGTGGCACATCACCCTGGCGAGTTTCATAGCAGCTAGCTGTCATTCGTAATATTGCATTTTGAATTTAAACTCGTACGCTATGAAATTGATAATTATTAATTTGTTTATTTGCGTTTTTTGTGCATTTTTGCAAAGGGGGAAAAAATATAAGAATGCACGTTTAGATTGAGTAACTCTTAAATTCGTTTCTACATTAAAGCGGCAGCGGGCGCCATGCGTTCGCCTGCATTAAATTTGTCAATAATTACGTTTAAAATTTTTGCATTTCTTCGAATATGTTGCAAATAGTTTAAGTAAGTAAATAGTAGTTGTGCTGCCTATCACATACGTTTGATGCGTTATCCTGTCCTAGCGAGCGCCCTTAGCGTTTAAATCGAAACCAAAATTTTTAATCATATTTTAAATTGCCTCCTGGCTGCTGTTGCTCTAGCAGTTGCTCTGCAGACTCAGAGTCGGTAACTTCGCCAGCCAATTGATAGGACGGGATGGACATACAGTTCCGAATAAAACTACACACACTCTGCACATATTGTGCAGGATACTTGGTATAGATCTTAACATGCTCAGCATCCTCAAAACAAACAGACGACACATTGATGCCCTGATCACGCCGCATCCGTATAAATTTCTCCACATCTTTGTATGGTATGACCACATCGCTTTTTGAATATAGAAACAGTTGCGGATATTTGTTTGTCTCGTTCTTCAGCTCACAAAATGGACTGGCATGCAATGGCGTTGACTTGACAAACACATTCTTGAAAGCCGAATAAGTTTCCTGCAATTGACGAGCGTTCAATTAAATGGCATCTTAGGGGGGTGGGTGGGTGGTGCAGCAACCTGTAACTCACCTCGACAAACCACATGATGCTCAGCGTCAATGTTATGGCCAGTGCTGTGAGGCAGTTGCATCGCTTCTCTTTCCCATAAATTGCTGTTATGGCACGATACAAGCCGAGCATGCGACGTTCGCCTGGCGCCGAATCAAAGATGACACCGCGCACCTGCAATGGGGACTTGTGCTTTCTAACGGCCAGATTGATGTGTTGATAGAGATAGGCGCCGCCATTGGAAAATATGTGAAAAATCAACGGATGCGCATCAAAGTTCATGTCCTGTATCAGCTTTAATATCTTTTCCCCAATGGGAATCATTTCGCTGCGCTTCCAGAACAGCGTATCCACAGGCGCCGTATAGCGTACAGTTATCAGGCTGTTAAGTAAATCATTATTTATATTTAATTGTGCTACATTTATTATAATTATTACTATTATTCTTACCCCCTCTCCTCGTAGATCTTTGAATACTTCATCAAATATCGATCCTGGCAGCCCGCCCAGCCCAATAGCATTACAATTGGCACATTATTGTGTTCCTCATTGCCACTGACCAGCACAAAATCCGTATCGGCTGTCGGTTTTGGAAACTTAATGAAGTATTCAAGCGCATCTTCACGCTCCTGCAGATCCTGCTGTTGTCGTCTCAATTGCTGCTGTCCAGTTGCAGTAGTTGACATTGAACTGCTGGCCACAATGCCGGCCGATCCGCTGTAAGGCCGATACTCAGTAGCAATATCGTTCGCTGTCAGTCCATATGGATGTGATGCTGACGACGACGACGACATTTTGGCATTAAAATATGTTTAGTTCTAAAACTCACTGTGTTTTGTTTGTTTTTTTTTTTTTGAATTTTCGTGTTGTGTTTTCACCAGAATAGAAACTATGTACGTGTTTGGCTTGGTTACGCAAAAGCCTACTTAACAGGATATGAGGTGTCCAGTGCCTGGTGTCAGGTGCCAAAACGTTGCTGTATTGATTTTACGGCAAAAATGTTAATTTTTGCTTATTTAAACAATGCCAAACGCTTTAACTGTGTGCAGCCACAGGACTTTTTACCACATCATTGATTTTTTTAGCCGCTGACGATAACGGCAAGGCTTGACCTTCTGGGCCACGCACAAACAAAAATCAAATGTGCTGCTTCCTGCTGCAGTAACATGCCGCATTCCAATGCGTCGACATTAACTTCCAGCCGTTGCTGTTGACCCATTCGGTTCGAGTTGGACATGCGCAGAAGGGTCGCAGGATATTATTTCACAAACGACCATTCGATTTGATCGTCAGTTAATATGAAAAAGAAAACTGTTCCACGTCAATAATATTGTGTTTATAGTTGAAATAAACAAATTTTCTCAACGAATGTAAAGTTTGAAGACTTCATTTAGTAACACATTAAAAATTCAAATTAGCGCTTACATCTTCACAGCTGTTAGTTATATAACGCAAATACAGCTGAAAAAGCACGATAGTATCGATGAGTATCGATGCTTATTCGATATATTTACCAAATATTGTCATTCAAGGCACAATTGAATATTTTTAAAATATATTTAAGAAAAACAAATATAAATTGTCAGAATATGGTAATCTAACGATTATACAAAAATTTAATTCAGAATCATATGGAAATTGATATTTGAGCAAAGAAAATGAGTATTAATAGTTATTAAATAAACGTTACATTTAAATCCAATGCAACGCTGTCGTCAGTTTTGCGAAAATTAAATAAGTCTGTTTATAGTATTCACTTAGATGACCAAGAAAAATATCACTACGGCTGATTTTTTAATGGGAGAACTGTAATAACGTGATTCAGAAGCAAAACAATATTTTCAATTTGGCAATTTTGGTATTTCAGTTTTAGTACATAAAGTATAATTTGGTAATATTATTGAACTAAATTTGACTAAGTTGTTAAGATCTGTGCGTTACAGTTCCTCATGTGCCGACGCCTCCTCTTCGAGAGCTGCACCTGGATCGGTATCCACTTTCAACGCTACTGTAAACAAAATATAAAAAAAAAACACAAATATGCACAATGAAAATACTGCAGATGAATGCTCTCTCGTACGAATTATTCACAGAATAAAATAAAAGTTCTGTCAGCGAAAAATTCCAGATGTCTTTTTGGGCTTATAATGACTTCATAATTAAATCCTCTAGCTGCTTTGTGTCTATTTCAGGCTTTTGGCCGCCCTGCGCCGTCCAATTTAACCAGTACTCTGAGGCAGCTATGTAGATAGCGACCGCTCCACCGACAATATAGGCAATATGCGTGGAGCTCTGAAAGATTACACACGTGGCCACGCACATGCCAAAGTAGGTGAGCAGCCGAGTGATGTTAACATATGAATCACGTTGCTGGGAGGATAGATCTTTCGGTTCCAGCAAATGGGCAAGAAATGTGAGAATTGTTTTACATGCAGCATTGGCCAATCTATGAACATACTCACCCTGACACTTGCCATCCTTCAGCTTATAACCATCAGCGCATTTCCTGCACATGTCCGGTCCATCGCCATCGCAGCCGTCACAGGAACGGTCGCACTCGAGGCAAGAGAATGAACCCTCGTTGTTAACGCAGAACTGCTGTGGCTGGCAGGCTCGGTGCTGATCCACGCACTCGTTAATATCCACGCAACCGGTCTCGGTGTCCATGCGCCAGCCAGCCTTGCACTTGCGACAGCTCTTTGGACCAGCTCCGTTGCAGCCGCCGTCCCCACAAGCGGCATGACAAGATGTGCATAGAAGCTTTGTTGCATCGCGAAAGGATTCATAGTGGAGCTCATCGCACTCATTGCAATTGGTGCCGGCATACCCACTGTCGCATAAGCACTTGCCATTCCCCTTGCGCGTGCCACTTCCTTTGCATTTACCTATTCGATGTGTATTCAATATTGAAACGTTGTTCATAATCTAAGCCCAATTAAAACTGCCCGTTAGAACCGCGTTAATACCCACCATTACTGTTGCAATCGGTGCACGGCTGGCACGTGGGTCCATAGGTGTTTGGGGGGCAGCAAACGTTGAGTTGTTTAATACACAGCCAGCCATGCAGGTCGGGCTCCTCATCCTGCTTGTGTATAAACCAGTCTTCAATCAGCAACTCGTGATCGTTGCTCAAGGTGTGGCAATGGTCCTGTCCCCGCTTAACTTCACTGCATAGCTGCTCTTGGATCTCAACGAAACGCACCTCGCTGTTCTTATAGGCACGCATTTTCTCCTGCTCCCAGGCCGCATCACCGCCGGCATGCTTGCCTCGTTTTGTTCGCTCAAGTCCCAAATTAAACGATTCGACGAGTACGGTGCAAGCTTTGCAGGGTGGCAATTTTGTTGATTTATCCTTTAGCTTTTGTGGATCATCGACTGCTATTGCAACTGTTAAAAGTGGCAGCACAAAACATATTTTTAATAGCATATTATTTTGTGTCGGCGTTCAGTTAAAGAAGGTTTACGTGTATTTCATTTAGGGATGTTGATAAGGTATCGACCTATCGATGCTTCAGAGCTTACTGCGATATCGATATCGATACCGATATAGATTTTGATAATTAATTTTTAAACTGTTTTTAAAAATAAAAATAAAATTTAATTGGATAACAGCTTTATTTTTTACTTAACATACATATAATCTATAAACACAATTTTTATTGAAAATAAAAATTCTTATTAAAAAAATTATCAACACCAAACACACACAAAACTTCAGACACGTTTGTTAATACGTAGCGAAGTTTAATAACAAATGTAACCTACATACTTGTTAATTTTTATCTATTTATATGCAATTATAAAGAATATAACCCAAGCTGCGTCACCATTTAATATTTAAGGCCGTGTTTAGTTTTTCTACGGCATGGTAACTGGTATGCAGCAGCTCTGACGCTTTATCCGTATGTGCGCCGTCCAGAAAATCGGTATAAATTTGTTTGGTATAGGTATTATCAGGATTGGAGCGAGGCAGCTGCTTATATAGTTCTTCCAATTGTTGGGTTAACTCCCGCACATGCTGCCCCGTAGTTGGCCGCACCTGTGCGCCACCATTAATGCAGCCGGAAGGGCACGCCATGACTTCGACAAAGTGATAGCCTGGCCCCTTGCCACGTTTTAGCTTCTGCACCAGATTTTGTATATTGCGAAAGCCATTGGCAATGGCAAACTTAAGAAGGGATTTGCCATCTTTTTCCAAGCTTATTTCACTAAAGTCGCGATTGCGCAGCGCCTTGAATTGCAGCTCGTTGGGCGTTTCCTTGCTGAATAGCTCTTTGGCGGCATATTTGAAAATGTGTTCCGCATAGCCGCCGGACATGGTTGCCTCGTGTGCCCACACCGTAAACTCGGGCTGCTGATCCGTCCAAGGCCAGTCTATGTCCGAGGGCTCAAATTGTTGTAGCGTTTGTTCCTCTGCTTGCAGCATTTGCTCCACTTCAACTGCGGGGCGAAAGATGAAGTGACTAAACATATAAGCCGGAAAGAACGCTGGACTTACTTGAGGTAATCACACAATCCACATCCCTAGAGCCATTGACTTCACTGTAGAAATCCTCGCGTGAGGCCTCCAGCTTCTTATCGTAGCAGGGCATGATTGTGGCATGGTAGATACGAGAGCCGGGTACACCTAGCTTTTCGGCCAGTAACTGTTTAACCAGCACGCCCATAATTTGTTGTGGCGATCGCGTAGTAGCTATATGGGGCAATATAAAGTTTCCATGTGTCTTTTCCGCGTAGCAAACCCAACCAGGGCAAGATGAGCTCAACATGACGAGCTCGGCGTTGTCGCGGAAACGCTCAACAAACTCTTGTCGGCACTCGAGAAGCGCCAGATCATCGGCAATTTTTGTGCAGAGCACATAATCAGCGCCCAGTTGCCGCAGATAACCGGCCAAATAACGACTCGCCTCTTCAACGCTGAGTTCATAGCGATGCGCCAGACTTAGCAGCGGCTGAACAGAAATTGAGAACACGATTGTACGGACCTGATCATTGTCACCAGAGGCTTTTAACGTTTGATTTTCTCGAAGTACTTTCAGCAGCTCTTCCTGACTTTGCTGTGTAATGAGTACGCCCTCCGCGGAAGTTATACAGCCGGAACAGGCCAGGCAATCTTGTAGTGTGATTTCAACCTTTTGAAGCTTCTGCTTGCCGCTCTGTAAGGTTTTATATTTTCGGAGCTGTATTATATATTAATCATGTTTATAATAATTTACCTCTGACTGCTCGTAGTACCCATCTGCCTGAACAGTAATTTTAGCTCCAGTCTTCGATTTGGTCTTATCTATCATCACGGGCTTTATGCATTCCTGAAATCGTACATTTAATAAATTCATTTATTATTTTATTACTGCTGAGCAGCTTACCTGTGAAGGAGTTATAAAGTCGTCCAGGTCGGTAAGTTGCAGCGCTCCGCTAAATCGCGACATGGTGTGAATCTTCTGATTTCTGTTTCTTTAAGATAACGCAATATATGTCAAATCATATGTTAACGCGTTAACATGCGAATGGCAAATCGCATGCCGAGAAATAATAACAAACATAAGCAAATAGAATTCATAGTGTTTTATAATTTTCTGACAAATTCCAGAGACAGAAAATACTTACGCAATCACAATTCAAAATTTTATTTTCGAAAATTACAACAACGCGCGCATTTATAAATTAAATTTTACTTTGTGGTCTGTACTGTCCATGACAACCCTGCTGTGCTGTGTTGTTTTGAATAAACGACCAAACAGTTGGTTTTAATCGATGTGGCAACATTGACGCTTCTCAACAAAAGCATTTCATTTCCACGCTGAAAACGCAGAACATTTTTCGATGGGGCGAAGTAAATTCGTTAGCTCCACGCCAAAAAAGGTAATCAATGCAAAAGTCGAGACTGTCCATGCAGAGCATGCATAACTGATTACATTTACAATACACAGGTGATGCAGCACGGCGAGTTTATAAACCGTATACAAAAAACGCTCTACTATGGATGCGTGGACACAACGGAAGCAGACATGGAAGTTTCCATGCCTTTTGCAGAGTATGCAGCTGATCTGTTCTCGGAGCCACATCGGGGACACTCATTGCATCGTTTGAGCTCTATTGCGGCAGGCAAAACGCATGCAACCCCATGCTCTCTTATAATGGCTCTGATTTACTTGGATCGTCTTAACATCATTGATCCCGGCTATGGCTATAGAATCACGCCACAAGAACTGTTTGTTGTGTCATTGGTAAGTGTCTAAGTCGCTCACAGCAGCTCGTGACGAAACCTGTTGATTGATAACCCACCTTCCGCGCAATAACGCATACATTTTCATGAATTTTGCGAGTGTGTGTAGGCGTGTATACACACACTCACACACATATGGGCAGCAATAAGAGCAGTGTTCTAAAACAACAAAACGAGTATAAAATGAGCATGTGTTGGTGAGGGAGATTGCTAGCTATTTTATTCTGTTTTGTAGTTTTTGTTGTTTGGCATTTATTTTTAATTAAACGACAGTTGGCGATGCTGCTGATAAGTTGCAGTCGCATTGGCTATATTGCAATAAATGAATATTTATGTAACTCTGTTATTTATAGCACTTTTTTCGGCGATTAGCCATGCCATGCCAAAGCTGTGACGTCACTGGGTTACTCATGAACTTGTTTTGTGTCTTTTGTTTTGTTTACAGATGATTTCAACGAAATTCTATGCTGGCCACGATGAGCGTTTCTATTTGGAAGACTGGGCAAAGGAAGGCAACATGAGCGAAGACAAACTCAAGCAAATGGAACTGGAGTTTCTGACCGCCATTGTAAATACGTTTTACCTAATTCTATTTGTATATGTGAATTAACATACAGGTTTTACTTAACAGGACTGGAACATATACATATCGAACGAGCAATTCTTTGAAAAGCTTAGCAGCGTGGAACGAACGCTGGCACAGCGCGAGGGCCTGCGACGCGGCTGGCTCACCTACAGTGAGCTGATGCAGCTATTGCCCAACTTTACAATAATGAAATTTTTGCTGAATAACTTGGCTGTGCTGGCTTTGAGCTATGCGGCCAGTGTGTTCACAATCGCCGGGGCATTTTTCATTGCTAGCCAAGTGCCGGGCACGCTCTGGCATCGACGCACAGACACGAACGTCACAGCAACGGTTAACACAACGCTGACGACTCCCATTACAACGCCCAATGTCACTGATGCTGCGCCCGTTGTCAGCGGCGATATCTCGATCCGAGTTTCGGCGCCCAACGACAGTTGCAGTGCTTTAAATGTGGAAGCGGAACTTTTGAATCTGGAGCAACAATATTGCGCCGAAGAAAGACTGATTGAGTTGGAACGTAGGCGACGCTTGGAGCAACCGCCCAATCCACTGCTGCCGCCCAATTTTCATGTCACGCACGCTTCCACGCAACAGGATAACACACAGGACTGGCTCAACATTAAGTCGCAGTACAGCGATGGCACTGAGCATCGCAATCCTATGAAATTTGGCCACAAGACATACAATTGGAATCAAGCCCAGAATGCATCCATTTTTTGGCAGGTTCTGAGCGAAGCTATGTCCCACCAGTCGTTCTTAGTGCGCTGGCCGGTGTTGTGGCCAAAGTTGATTTAAGGCACAAGCTTCAATTTTACGAACACTTTCTGTTCACTTTCTTTAATCTATAAAATGAAAATTCTTTCATAATGTCAATAAATTTTGACTCCGAATAAATTATATTTTTTCAACACTAATAAAATCGATATTTAATTACATTTTCTTCAATTTAATATATCTTTATTTGTTAAGCTCTCTACAACTTGGACTTTGATATTGTGCATAATGTATATTTCTTGCTACTGAGTTTCAATATTTTTAAAGCCGATTTATATTATTTAACATGGGTGGAATAGCTTCGAGTGAGCGCGTAGTCAAAGCATTTAATAGGCACTTTGCAGTGTGGTGTGTTGGATAGTCAAGTCTGTAGGCGTTATATTCTGTTGAAACGGGCTTGGCTTTATTTTAAAATTCCGAAATGAAGTTGGCCAATCAAAATAATGATGACAACTGATATTGGCATGCATTTATCGGCAAAGTTCACTACATAAACGTTCTATTTTGATTTCTGGTGTTACAGTTGGACCTTTTTGCAGCTACGATACATTGTCTGTATTTTATATTTACCACTAGATTATATTTTAATCCGAGAATACAAAAGAAGTGTCGCGTTTCTCCTAGTACATTAAACCAGATGAGTTTTTATGTGCGCGGTCAGAATCAGTGCAAACTTGAAATTACATAATAATGATATTTAATCCTAATTTTAATAGGCGGATTGAATAGTATTTAAATAGTAGGTACTTTGAGTGTCACATTAGTTTGTTTTATATCGCGTGAAGTAAAAAAATAAAAGAAACCAAATTAAATTATTTTCAGACTTTAATGAAATGAAATCCATATTCAAGTTGTGGGCATTTAGACCCCAGAAAATTATCAATTTTGACATAAAATCAAAAGTTTGCATTCGGATTGCGATTTCAACGGAAACTTCATAGAATTGACTGTTTCGCTAGTTAGATTTTTTAATGTGGAAAACCTAATTCTCAGCCGCTTTTTTCGGTTCGTCCTTCATCAGCCACAAGGGGCACATGCCAATTAGGCAGCCGACTGTGATGCCCACTATGCGACCCTGCAACAACAAAACATGCAAATGGGTATTTATCAATTGATTAATGGCACTGTGCACTGGCTGCTTACCAAACTGGAGGCTCGCTTGCTTGACTTCAATTCAAATTGTGCGGGCGTCATTTGGGGTTGCTTGAGTCCCAATAGCTCACAGCCTTCCTCCACATATGTGGCCATGGTAATGCCCATAATATCGCTTATGGTATTACCAAGACCTGCGGCGGCCATTGTCGATAGCGTTATGAAATGGCCCAATGAGCTTTCAATGTATTCGCCCTGCAAAGCATGATATTTGGATACAATTTCAATATTTATATAGTTTATCAAAATTTCTTACGGCCATGATCATAATAAAGTTGTCAAGAAATCCAAAGGCTATAAATGGCACGGCATTCACAAAGAAAACTGCAAGGAATTAATTGATAATAATTCAAAATTAAAGGACAATAATGATAATTGATTTTCTGTACTTACTGCTATATAGTTGACTAGCGGTTGGTGGTTCTGCCGCCTCCACTGCGAAGAGAGAGAAAGAAAAAAGAAGATTAGTTTTCAATTGAATTGGAATGGGAATAGGTTCTTCTTCTTTTTTTGGTGCAGCGACATTTAATCTGTTGTTATTGTGGTTTTTGAGTTTACCCAGTTTCTTTCTCAGCCACTCATCGGGCACCGCACAAAATGTGCCGGACGGATCCACCTGGCCCACCTTATTGGAAAGACGTCCGAAGCGCGTCCGCCAACTGCCAACAGCTAGTTGGCCTTTGGTTTGATGACAGTGTTTTTTTTTTATCGTTGTTGTGTTGTGCCATGTGATTCGTGTGTTGTTTGGATCCAGTGTTTTTTACAATACAGATTGTAATAGTTGTGTAACAGTTGTTAAAAATCAAAACATGGGAGAAGTGTTTACATATGCAAATAAAAAAAGAGATAATAGTCATTTAATATGAGAGTACACAACTGAATATTAACCTCATAATCACTTATGCGAACATGCCAATACTTAAATAATAACTAACTAATTAATTACACAGCTCATGATCAGAAACTAAAGTTAGAAAACATGTCATTTTACAAATTATAGGGTATGATGTTTTAGCCATGGTTAAGGGTGTATGGAGCTTATGAGTACTTTGCGATGACGCACGTTCTATAACCTTCGTCGGAAAAATATATCTATAGTCTTATAGCCAGCAGTAATTAAAACTAATAAATGCATATTTATAATGGATATGTATAGCTAGCAGGTTATTTTAATAATTTGCTTTCGCGCGCACACACAGCTAATTAAAAAAGGTAAAAGGCTGAAAGGTGTCGCACTTTATAAAAGATTTGACATCAATCGCACCGCCTACCCCGCCTCCACTCAAACCACATCCACTCGTCCATTTACGCTTGGCGAATTGCATTAAAATTGCATTAAAATTGCATTTGGCAAGCAACAAGCGCGCTGAATGGCTGTGCGCGTCGTTGTATGTGTGCGTATGCATCTTCGTTTATACGAAAAGCGACAAATTTCGCTTCATAAAAAGTCTATTTATTTATTAAAGACAACTCTGAAAAACAGTTACTGTCAGTAAAACAAATTATTGCATAGAAATACTGAAGCGCTGCCACCTTTATTAGCGTCGATTTTATTTTCGACGATGTGGCGACTCTCTATTAAAATATGAATTGATCGGATTAAGAAATGTTGGTAGGGCAAGAACTTGCGTAGTCTGGCAGCACTGTAACGCAAAACTGATCTATTAACAGTTACTTCAGTTTTGGTTGCAAAGCGCAAACGTATAAACGCGTGTTTCTGAATTTCTCACGCTGCACTAAATTAAGTTTTGCAATGGCCTCCGTTGTCGTTAATTTAACGCTGCATATTTTCACACGTCGCAAACGCAGTCGCGCCTTTGCAGCCGTGTGTGTAAATATGGGTTTGCCTGCCTGTTTTATGTGTACGAAGCCTGTGTGCGCGTGTGTGTTTAGTTGTGTAAGCGACGCATTTTAGCGCCACTTTGGGTGCCGTTAGTTTGCCCAGCACTCTTCCATTAGGAACGTGTTATAATTACGCTTACAAGTGAATGTCAACAGCCAGGCAAAATGGTGCCCCTAACCGTCATCATAATTATCATTATTCCCAGTGTTGCCGCCTCCCCAAAGTGCTCAATTAATTTACAGCTTTACTCTCAGTGTCATCACAACGGGAGCCATTAAAAATGTGTGACAGGAAGAGTTAAATGCATGTGTCGCTTAAAGGCAGGCTGCAATACTCTATAAACAGTCCAACGTTGTGGGTAAGTGCAACACAAATGTAAAAATACCACTCATAACTGTTAACAAACGTAAGTATTAAGGGTTTTAAAGGGTTTTAAAATATTTCCAATGATACGCGTAACGCATGAAAAATGCCAATCTCGGCCCCACAATTAATGTACATAAATTATTGATCAGGATGGCGATATGAGTATGAAGTATTTATTTTAAAGTTTAATCCAGATTGGCCTTTTGATCGAACTGCTCAATGCTGCGTATGGGACTATATATTCGTGTGGGACTTTATATTAAAAAAAAGGCAATTTAACTTTTATTCAGTCTTTGAAATATTTTTTTATGGGCTTTAAAACTTAAATTTGCATAAAATGCGTAAATAAATGTTATAAATATGCTCCGTTTTGGTAAATATCTTCTTTTATTTAAGTTAAACATTTTTCTTAATAAATTGTAGATAGTCTACCCGTTGTACCCTAAACACGGGGTATACTCTGTTGTCACAGGGGCCTACTTGGCCATTAGACTCCTGTCACATATCAGTTAAATACATCCACATACACATGTCGTATACACGTACGTGTGAGTGTGTTGCTTTGCTCATAAAAGTAAACACCCCGCTAGACTTGACTGAGCAATTTGCAGGGCAATTATGTTGTTTAGCTGTCGGTTAAGCGTTAGACATGAGATTCTCACTTGATTCACCGAATCAGAAAAACACGCCATAAAACATGCTAAGAAATTTCTTAAGAGACTTGCTTGACTATTTGAATACCCGATCTAGTTTAATAGCTGAATGTTATTTAATATGAACTATATTCAAATGAATATATTGCTTATTTTATTTTAAAGATTTTTATTAGTCAGATTAGATATTAATAAACTTTATGTCAGTGTCGTTCTTGATTTAATACGATGTCCAGGGCATTGTATATCGAAATATGTGCTCTTATCGCAGCCCAAGTCTATATCTTTTTGTCTATATTATACGATAACCTGCATCGATCACTTGGTATCCTTAGCTCCTATAATTCCAATACGTTTTAAAAACAAGAATCTAATTTATTATTTATTTATTATTATTCGGGAATATACCCAATGCAAGTTCATTCGGTGTGGGTATTATTATAGAGGTCACAAAGGCAATCAACTGACCTCGGCACATCCTTTTTGCGCGAGCTCGCGCATTGTGTGTCATATGTGCGTACACATACAAGCACTCACACAGCGACACATGCACACACACACCGACACACACTCAGCAACACTCAGCAACACAAAAGTTTGATTTGCTGCGCAACGCAACGCATATCGAAAGGAGCGTTCCCAAAAGCAGGCAACACTCGACTCTCGATTTGTACTCGAGCTGAGATCTGAGAGTGGCACTTGGACTGACTTCTTTTATTTTCGATTTATTTTTCTTTATCTGTCCCTTTAGTCTATTCGCGCTTAAAGTTACACAAAAGACAGCCCGTTTTGCTATCATGGCCATAGCAATTTTAGCCGTGAGCTGCTGCCATGAAAAAAGCAACAGGAAGACGTGATATGGGTGTGTGTGAGTGTGTTGGCTAACAAGCCCGCAGAAGTGTGCATGTATGGGTTAGCGTGTGTATGAATGAATGTGTGTGTGTGTAGACATTTGCATAACATTTAGCATCGTTTATTGGCTAGTTTGCGGGCTGCTACTGTTTAGCATTTAAATTGGCTAAAACTGTACGTATTTATATAAAACTTTTCATTGTCAAGAAGTTCAAAAAGTCCAACTTGCATAACGAATGTGCAAGTCATGTCTGAGGTCAGCCCAAAAGCACACTACACAATTTTACCAAAGTGTATCCAAGGCCGAAAAACTGTTTGCCACGACAAAAACCGACAATTAATTTACTTTCCCACAACAATAAATTAAAAAAAAAATACCACAACAATTTTAAACAACAATCTTTCTTGTGAGAAAACAGTTTAAGAATTACAGCACAACAATTTCATATTATAAAAGCAGAAATGTGCTTTTTAATAGCCTTCTGACCCTGCTTAGTTAATCAAGCTCTGTTTTATTTCTATTGGGTTAGTCTTAAAACATTTCTGATATAATAATTCGAGATTGTAATCGACAAACTATATTTATTGAAATTGATTATGAGGCGTACTCTTCAAGCTGCCGATTCAAATAAATCATTTTGAAGTCCAGTTTTTAATTTACAGGAGAAGATTCTAAAGTGAAATTGAAGTCCTGAAGAGATGTCAAGTTTAGAATTAACTAATAAATTGTGATTAAAAGTCTGCTCGAATCATGAGAACACATATCTTATAGATCCCACATTGCTTAAGATATACATATTTGTTGAGAGTTCCTGTAATTTTTGCTTGATAAAACTTTTTGTTGTTTTTTATGTAAACTCAAGTAATCCTGCGGCCACAATGTGCTACCATCAAGGAGTTCAGCAGCATAAAACATAAAAACATTGTAAGCAGGATTAGTATGTGTGTGTGTGTGTGTGTGTTTGATTCAAGCAGATATATGTACTTGCTTTCGCATGTATTTGTGCGTAGAAGTAAACGTGTTTAGTCATGTATACCTGCCCGGGCTGAGGGCCACTGCGTCAGCTTCCAAAGCTTAACGGGAACAGTTTTCAATTTATCGCTCTGCCTTTTGTGTTGTTGCTCTCTTTCCCTTGTCTTTCGTCTTTTTCTTTGTTCTATTGCTTTCACACTCTGCCTTTCTGTCTGTGAAGCTTTGTGCGAGCGATGCGTTGCTTTGTTTTATGACTTTTAAGGGCATACACATACACACATACATACATACAGAGCAGCTGTTGCTGTATCGCCTGTTGCCTGGCCCGGAAACTCTCTGGCATCTCTTGCGTGCTCAGGTGCCAACTCAAGACCCTGTCAAACACAATGGCACGTGCTTTTACAAAAAAAAAAAAAAAGACAGAAAAAGTCAACAAATTGATTCAAATTGCAAAAGGCATCGCTCTGTTCCGTACTTTGCTACGCTCTGCCACGATTGACTCATTTAGTGTTGAGTAAAAATACATTAAGGCCACAGTGTTGGAAAAGGGGATGGGGTGCATGGTTTCTGAAGTGCTGTCAGAAAAGTTGGCTGCCACTCGACTTTCATTTTTGAAGGGGCATAATATTTGATGAGCTTCTTCTTTATATTTCATACAGCTCTTCGTTGTAGCTCTTCCGTTTCCGGTTGATAAAACAAACTGTTTGAAGTCTTCAAAATTGTATATGCTAAATTTAAAGCAATTTTATAAGGCTGCTTTGAGGTTGCATGGCAACAAAATCTTTTTATATAAAAGTATAAATTATATTAAAACTATATATTTGTAGTAAGTATACATCAGTATACTGGATTACTCTGGAAACTAACGAATTCTTAAAGATGTAGCATAAAATATGATTTTGAAACAGTTTTTATGGTATTGGGAAATACAATTTCTTTGAATGTTGAAGTCGTACGCTTCTCTTTACTTTTTATTTAACTTTCCAGCAAAATCTGATTGAATAACTGAGCTTAACAGTTCTTCTTTTTAAGAGTATTAAGGCTTCGCCTTGAAATTATAGTTTATGGGATGCAAATTGCCCTATTGATTTTTCGGCTCGCAATTCATGTTGTTGCTTTTTTACTGTAAACTTCTGCATTTGCTGTGCTTCGTCAGTTCATTTTTCAGTAAGTCAAATGCTACGTATATATCCATAAATCTCTATATCTACAGCATTCAGCTTATAAATGATGCAGCTATCAATTGGGGTGCACATGCATGTGCGTGTGTGTGAGTGTGAGTGGTGGGTTATTTCCCTCTGAAATAAGCTTTGGTAATTGTGATAAATGTAGCCCGAGGCAAATGTAATTTTTAAATTCTGGCTCATATGCTGAGCCAACATAGAGGGCATACAATGCAATGCAATACAAATGAGGTCAAATAACGCCCAATAGAATCTAGATACGCACAGCAAGGGAAAGAGAGAGAAAAAGAGAAAGAGGGAGAGGCCTGGGCCTTGGATTGGGTTGGGGCTTCACCTTCTTGAGCAGCTGCTCGCTTCAAGGCTCACCGACTTTTTCGTACATTACAGTGAACATCATTTAATCTGTCCAGGACAGGCAAGTAGGCGGTTACATGGGCGGTGAACGTGTACGTGTAAGTGTGCGTGTGCGTGCGTGTGTGGGTATGTGTGCGCTCCTAACAGCAAACGAATTGCCTCCTTCTGTTTATCAGGGTTTTGTGTTGTTGCCGAGCAAATATTGTGCGACATTCCACTTAACGGTTGTTTTCCCAAATATGCCCGCTGGCATTTTGAGTGCTCACCAACCGCTAATTTGATTAACTCGGCTTTTTATGCAAGTATCAAAGCTCTTTAGGCGACCACCCATAAAAAGAGATGCTGATTTTGAAATAACTTTGAAGCTGAAGATTATAAAACAGACAAATCCAGCGACTTTATTTTCCATCAAAATAATTTAAGATTGATAAAAGCTTTTGCGTTGTCAATAAACTTCGCTCCTTGTGTTTTGTTAAAAATGATTAAATGGTTAGGTTGTACCTTATATGTACACCAGCTGCAGCCGATGCTTCTTAAGCATAGCTTCATAATGTCCTCTCTATCACTCCCACTGTTTAACTTTATGCTTTCCAATTGTACACACTCGGAGAATGCGACCGATCAGCATGGCAGACGCGCTCATACTGAATCGTCGCACTAGGCTTGAGTCTACGCTAAGCCAGCATTCACACTAATACATTCACACCTAGCTAATGTAACTCTCGCGCTCCCACCATGAACAGTGCTCGCAACACAGCCAATGGCGTGTATCCACTGTTGGACACACACATTCATACACCATGAACAACGTTCGCTCTTTGGATAAAGGTTCTTTCTCAGTGAATAATAATTTTTATTGAGCCCTTCTCTTCTCTTAACGATTTAAGACTTACTTCGATGAAAACTAAACAGTTGTCTACACTGATTTTGAGCCTTTATTTTCAGGCAGGATGTAATTAAATAGATTTATCAATAAAGAAAGATAGTTTTAAAATATTTTTGTTAAAAATACTATAGAAATCAAATTGAAAAAAATTCCTATTTACCAAATTTTCATTCAATAAGTTTTAAAATTGAGAATATTTATTTTTCTGCGTAGCACGGGTATTTTTAATATATCCTTCTTCTTTTAATAATATTTGTTATTTTTAGAAATTATAAAAAAATCCCAGCTTTTCGTTATTAATTTCTATTTAAGTATACAGTCAAGTACCCACGATTCTAACGTTTATCAGAAACTCGATGAAGTGTTTTTTTCATGTAATATTTGCGTTGCTTAAATATTTGTTAAATCACTCAACGCCTTCTTATCAGAGAGCAAAGGAAAGAGAGAGAGAGAGAGAAGCAAAAGTTACGTGAAGAAACTCGTGAAACTTCTGCTGATTAGTTGAAACATTAGATATTGTTGGCAAGTGTTGTTAAGAGCAGTTTTGTTGTTTTTAAGCCAATTTGTCTGCATTGAAGAGTAATGCCAGAATTTAAGCTGCAAAAAACTAATCAACAAAGTTTTCAAGAAAAAAAGAGTGCGCTAGCAAGGGAGGCAGCCAAACTAAAAAGCGGTTGCTCCAGCTGCGACGTCGACGGCGACGCTGGAATTGCGCCTAGTGCGTAAAGCAGTTTCGGCAAGTTTTAACCAGCAGCAGGCGGCGCAAAATTTTCTTGCTGGCTGTTGAAATATTAATGAGCAGCCCACCAAAACGAAAACGGGACCGAAATGCGTTACCTGAACTTGAGCTACATACATACATATATGCTATGCTATGATGTGTGCTGCAAACAAACAAACGTGTATGTCTGTGCGTAGTGTCTACAAATATGTAGATAAATACAATGCATGATTAAATGCGCATATTTAAAGAGCTCCGTAAGCGCAAAAAATAAAAAATAACATGAAGAGCAACTGTTTTAACGTTGTTTTAAGCTCAACAACACGTTGGATAAGCCTAACTTTGTGCTTGCAACATGTTTAGCAACAAACACTTACTGATGTCAAGCATTTAAGCATGTTGCAAAACTACCCTAGCAATATTTTTCAGTGTTTTAGGCTCAACAACATTCGAGGGATAGGCCTAACTTTGAGCTCGCAACATGCTTAGCAACAAACACTTGATGTAGACAATCATTTAAGCAACTAATAAGCATGTTGCGAAACTGCCCTATCAATATTTCTCTTAAGACTATTTCCTGAGCTTAGCTCAAATCGGTGCTCTCTTTATTGTGACCTCATGGCGGCAACATTTGCTGCTCAAAATTTGTGTTTGTTAGCAACATTTGGCATGTTCGGCTTAAATATAATGTTAATAATATAATCAAATGTTGAGCTTAACATGCTCTGAACTTCTCGTGTTTTCAATGAATCACAATGTTGCTAAGAGTTAAATGCTGCCATCGCTTAGCCTGGCAAAGATTTGCGTCCGATGTATAAATTATGCCGCACGCCGCATGTTGCACAGGGTGAGCAAATCTGTGCGGTGATTTGGTTTTATGTCTGCGCCAGGAGTCACGTACGCAGTAAAAGCTGTGTGGCTGCCTCAGAACATATGGACAGCAGTTACTTTAAAGCTATTGAGTGAGAATGGCGGCTGCTCGGCGTTGCGCGGCTTTGTCGCTTATGATTGAGAGTTGGGAATCAAAAAGGCTTAATAATAGCAATTAAAGACTGGGCAATTAATTGTACACATTGTTAAGTTGCTAAACGGATCGAAGTCTATAATTTCACAGCTGACGAGCTACAGCTGGGGGCTATAAAATGCTTCCATTTGACTCGAAATGTCAACAGTTCAATTTGCAAATTAGCCACGTTAACAACATGCAACGTTTTGTAATCTCTGTGGCACTTGTCGCCCTGCTGGGCGCTGCTTTGACCAAAGCCTTTGACGAGAAGGCCGCCATGGCCAAGTTCCTGGAGACGGCCGAGCTGTGCAAGGGCGAGGTTGGAGCCTCCGATGCGGATGTGCAGAGCGCCATGAAACATGAACCGGCCGCCACCTACGAGTCGAAATGCCTGCGCGCCTGTGTTATGAAAAAGTTCAATGTGCTGGGCGAGAATGGCAAACTGGACACGGAAGCCGGCCGCGAAAAGGCCAAACAATATACCGGCAATGATCCTGCCAAGCTAAAGTTGGCCCTCGAGATTGGCGACACCTGTGCGGCCATCAGCGTGCCGGAGGATCACTGCGAGGCAGCCGAGGCCTACAGCATGTGCTTCAAGACGGAGGCCAAACAGCGCGGACTGATGTAAGTAGCCACAGTAGAACCAAGGCAAACTATGGAAAACTGAGCAGGACCCCAAGCCACTGGAATTTAGTTTTATAGAAGTTTATTCGTGCGCCTTTAAGGCAATTTAATTTGGATTAAAAGAGGTTATAATAAATTGGAGCAATTGTGTGTAACAGGCAAACGAAAGCAGAATGATGGAGATATCAATAGAGGGTAGTACCTAGTCGATCAAGAGTGTAACTCTGCGTTGCTTGGAGTGTTTGTTTGGTTAAGAACCCCCCTGCAAAAGTTGTACTTACTTACGAGATTTTTCTTCAGTATGTCAGCCTCCAGCTTGCACATGGCATCGCGCAGATTGAGACGCTCGTCCTCGTCCAGATTGCACAGCAGCTCCATCGCTCGCTCGCTGCTCAGGTGCGTGCTAAACTTGGAGTAGTCGCGGCTAGTGGCAGGTAGCCAGGCAGGTAGCTGCTTGTTTAGGGTGTTGTTCAATTTGCTGTTGCATGCGGCCGGCCAGGTGAATCCGCGGCTGTTGTAGCTGCTGCGGACTCCTGCCAGTTTGGACTGTGCATGGCAATGACGCAGTAAATGCCTGAAGGTGCCGCGACAGTGTGTCATCTTTGTTGTTGTTGTTGTTGATATTCTTACACAATTTGGCAGGCGCGATCAAATTTGTGACGTCACAGAACACTCGCGCACGCGAAGAGGTGTGGCGAATTTGGCGTTGCCTTTGATTGTGTGCGTATGCGTGTGTGTGTGTGTATACCCGTGTGTATTTAGTCGACTCTGTGTACATAAACAAAAACACAAGCTACGCTTTTCGCCTCTGCCTTTGCCACGAACCAAAAACAAAACACGACAAACAGCAACCGCGACCCGCTGACCAGAAAATTTGTTGCGTATGCAACTTCGTTGCCCGTTCGACTGACTCGACGACGTCGACGACGACGACGACGACGACGACCCTTAGGGTTCACGATGACGACAGGCTAAAAAAAGCTTTGGCCATCAACTTCTCTCGCGCTCTCTCCGCAAACTTTTGCTGCCACTTTTGTGTTTTTTTTTTCTTTCTTTGCGCTTTTGCGATTCCAGACCTCAACAGCTGTTCGAATGTCTCACGCACGTTGCCCTCCTCCACACGTTACGATTTAGGCGCATCTTGGCCACAACATTGCATATAAATTTTATTCAATTAAATTTTGAAAATAATCTTAATTTGTTGTTGTCAATTTATTAAACTAAAAATAACTGATATTCCGAAAAATTCATCATACTTCGAATTCAGTTTTTTTATTGAGTTGTAGGTATTCCCAAATTTCATATCGAGGGTATTCTGTTAGCAATTAAATATGTCACAAATTGTTAAAGAGATAACATTTAGTCTATGACAAACTCTTTTTATAGTTATGATATTTCAGGGTTGTTAGACATTTTCTTTATTTGACTTATCTCTTATGGTTAATAAGCTGATTTGGTTTATTTCTTCAGGGAATATTTGTTTTGCTATCGATATGTTTTCTAAAAGCACATCGTATATAAAGTGAATGAAATTAAGTCGTTACGTGCGATGCACTGTTTTGGCATTATTTGGACAAAATGGTCACCTTAAATATATGCGCTAAAAAATACCACCGCAAATATCAAATAATTGAACGTTACGAATGCGACCCTGGCTCGAATGTAGTTTGAAAATGTGGCTACAGTTTATTTTGAGTTTTTGCTTAAGCTTATAAAAAGTGCTGTCAAGTGAATCGGGATTTTTTTTTAAAAATTTATTTATTATTTTAATTTATTTATTTTCGGGTTTTGCGAGTGTGTGTGTGTATGTTTGTGTGTATGCTTACAACTAAGTGGCAAAAATCTTAAGAACAGATTGCGAGCCTAGTCAGCAGCAAAAGGAATTGGCATAAATATAACGCACGTACGTATAGGACACTTAATAATTATTAAACATTACTATGTGCAATCGTGGGCGCGCTGTCCGGGAATGCCGCGCAGCTCCTGATTGAGAGTGCGCAGCAAAGGATGCTTGCCGCAGCCGCAGCGACCACGGAAATCGTCCAAATCCAGGGCCCAGACCATGCCGCCGCCCAGACGCAGGCTGCGCACAAATTGCGCCTTGCGTCGTATGTCCGCAACATCGTCGTAGGATACCCATTGATTGCCGCTGTAGGCGTAGGGTCCAATGCGACCTTCCTCGTCGCGCACCACCGTCCAGCCGCCAGCGCTGACCTTCTCGCAAATTTCATAGTATGCCAAAAAGCCACCGGCGCGCGTATATGTGCCCGCCTGGCCGGGTCCAATGGATTTGTCATTGAGGGCGCGTGCGTTCTGATCGGCCAGCGAGAAGGATTGGCCGTACAGGGGCATGCCCATGATCAGCTTGCTGGGCGGCGTGCCCTGATCCAGCCAATAGTGTATGCTATAGTTGCCATTGAAGTAGGGATTCGTATCGCCCTCCATATAATACAGCGGCGCCACATGGCCCGTCTGCTTGTCCCAGTTGCCATGGAAATCGTAGGTCATCACGGCTATCCAGTCGAAATAGCGTGCCAGCTGCGGCACATCATAGCCCGCATCGATGACGGTTTTGCTCGGCGAGACGGCGGCAGAGAGGAGCAGTCCACGTGGTCGGAATGCAGCCGAAAGTTCACGCACAAGTGCCGCAAATCCTTGCTTCTCCGCCGGCGAGCCCTTGGCACAGTCCACCTGCCAGCACACCGGATACTCCCAGTCCAGATCCAAGCCCTCGAAGCCATATTTCTCAACAAAAACCAAAATGCTCTCGATGAAGCGCGCACGAGCCTGCGGATCGAGCACCAGGCGTGCATATTTGCTGCCCAGCGAATCGTTCCAACCTCCAATTGCGACAGTTACGCGCAATCCCTTCTTCTTGTACTCTACAACGCGCTCATAGAAGCGATTGTCGATGTCTGCCCAGGAATCGTGCGTCTTGATGGTCAGCGTGTTGCTGTTGAGCACCGCAAAGCCGTAGACGATATGCGTGCACAGATTCTCATCTATGTCCTCGGGCACATATTTCCCCTGGCCGGGCCGATACCATGCCCAGTTCGTGAAGTAGCAGACGACCTTGTAGTTCTCATTGCTGCCCAGCGGCGGAGCTGGTGTCGGTTTTGGGCGCGCAATGGGCTTCTTATTGGGTGGTGTGAAGGGTTTCTTTGTGGGTTTTGTGGCGGATATGCTGCTCACTGTGGTGCTGGTTGGCTTGGGCCGATGCACCACCGGCGGCTGGGTGGTCTGGTCCGCGCGAACCGTACAGTGCGCATTGTTCGGCCAGTCGCAGTAATTCTCGTTCCAGTGTAGACCAGCGGGGCACCTAGAAGAGATAAGGCGTGATTTTAGTTAAGGAATTTTGGCACAGTCTCCACACATTAACATATACCACGTGGATATTGCCAACAATAATTAATATTTTTTCTTAAATTCATTGCAAAACAAATTAAAAGCATTTAATAGCATCTTCAAGTCTTGAGAAAATGTTGGAACTCTAATGGAATACCAAGCGGATAATTTATGTTTCGCTTACACATCTTCAATAGTGTGTATGTACATGTATACAGAAATTCTTGCAATTTGCCCTAGCTGCCGCAAGCACGAGGCCAGCCAAACACGTTTTCTTTAATAAGTTCTGTGATTCTTAGCCGATCTTGAAGTTTTCAACAGTAGGTTCTTTTGCGCTAAAGAATATTTGTTTAGTCTCAAAGATCAATTGCATTAACATTGTGGCTTAAATTGGTGGGCAATCCAATTTGGTTTATTATCTTGATTTATAGCTACGTGGTGGTAGCGGGGAGGAGGCGATAGCTATAAAATGAAAGATACCTGATATATATACTATTCTAGGAGCAACATATCAATTTTGGGGATTATTTACCAAACTTGCCATTTTTAATGGGTTCAGGGTATGAAAATAATAAGCCTAACTATTAAGTTTTCGACTTACCGTTGCTCGATAAATTCGCCGTATTGGCATATGTAGTACTTGTTGCAGTCACGCTCGTGCGACGCATAGTTGCGTCCAGCGCAATCTATTGGCTGACCCGGATCAGGCCTAGATGAGGTTGCAACTATGTTAGCCGGAGTCACGGTGTTAACCGTGGGTCTTGGGGATTCTACGGTGCCCTTGTCGCCAGCAACTGCAATCGGATGTTTTATTTAGGTCTCACTTTAACTTTCCTACCACTTACCCATGGTCTTTTCGCCCTGCTCCAGCGTGCACTTGGGATGCGGACCCGGATAGCCACGGAGCACGCGGTTAATTGTTTTGAGCAGCGGATACGATTCGCAGCCGCAATCATTTTTGAAGTCATCCAAGTCTAGGGCCCATATCATTGCGCCGCCCAAGCCCATGGCGCGCACATATTCGCTCTTGTGCCGTATCATCGGCGCATCGTCAAAGGAGACCCATTGATCCCGCGAAAAGGCGTAGGGTCCCATGCGACCACGTGCGTCGCGCACGACATTCCAGCCGCGACGTTGAATGTACGAACAGATCTCGTAGTAGGCCAGGAAGCCTCTGGCGCGCGTGGCCTCGCCCGCCTCGCCGCCGCCGTAAGTGGGCGCATTCAGCTGATGATCGTTGGCCTGGGCCAGTGAGAAGGATTGACCGTACATGGGCATGCCCATGATAAGTTTCTTACGCTCTGCTCCACTTTCCAGCCAATAGTTTATGGAGAAGTTGGCGTTGAAGGTCGCCGTGCCCTCTGGGTGATCGTACATGGGTGCCACATGACCCGTCTGCTTGTCCCACTGACCATGGTAATCGTAGGCCATCACCGCAATCCAATCAAAGTAGCGTGAAAGTTCCGGCACACTGTAGCCGGCATCGACGACCTTCTTGTTAGGCGAAACGGCAGCGGAGAGAAGTAGTCCCTTTGGCTTAAATGCCTGCGAGAGTTCACGCACCAAATCTGTGAATCCTTGCTTCTCGTCGGCGGTGCCCTTCTTGCAGTCCACCTGCCAGCACACCGGATACTCCCAGTCCAGGTCCAGACCATCAAATCCGTACTGCTCGATAAAGTCCAACACGTGGCGTATGAACCTTGCACGCGCCGCAGCGCTTCTTACCAAACGCGCGTACTTGTCACCCGCCGAGTCGTTCCAACCGCCTATGGCTACGGTTACCTTCACTCCCTTTTTCCTGTAGCCCACCACGCGTTCATAGAACTTGTTGTCCAAATCCGCCCAGGAGTCATGTGGTTGTATTGTAAGCTTATCACGATTTAATACGGCAAAGCCGTAGACTATGTGCGTGCATAGCTCGGCATCGATATCCTCGGGCAGATACTTGCCACCACCCTGACGATACCACGCCCAGTTGGTGAAATAACAGACCACCTTGTAGTCGTTGCTGGAGCCGAAGCCGGAGCCAACTACGGGATAACCGGCTTCCATTTCAAATTCAACCTCCTCTACTTCGTTTTCTTGTGAAGATTCTGGCTCGTTATTGCCTGCTCCCTCCTCATTGTTGACTGTCTCTTGTGATGTGGAGTATTCCGGCTCCGGGTGCTGCATTACAGCCACCTCTTCTTGCTCCTCACCGCCTTCGCCTTCACCTTCTTCGGACTCGCTGCTTCCCTGGCCAGTTGATTCCTGTGAAGTTTGCCCGGCTTCGCTTTCTACAGATGCTGTTCCAACCTCCCCCGAAATGGCTTGCTCTTCCACTGATTCCACTTCCGCCGGGGTTAGACCAGCTGTGGAGATTAACAGATAGCATACAATTTAAGCATTCTTGTAAAAGTCCTTAGAGACTTACGCGTCGGCTCATAGCCGCTTGGCGGATCCTTTAGCACAGCATGAATCTCGCGCAGCAATGGATGCACGCCATCGCCGCACCGATTCCGGAAATCATCAAGATCCAAAGCCCAGACCATGCCGCCGCCTAGATTCAGGGCACGCACCAATTGTGATTTCTTGCGGATCATGGCAGGATCATCATAGGATACCCATTGGGTACCCTTGCGAGCATATGGACCCATGCGACCACGTTCATCTTGAACTACTTCCCAGCCCTGATGCTTGACGCGCTCGCAGATCTATTAAAGTGCAAATAATTGAAATAGTTTAAATTCCTTGAAGTGGTAAGGGTGAAATGTTATAACGTTAGCTACTGATCAAATAAGGAAATACCCGATCGCCTTAACAGGGAGAAGTCGCACATCTTTATTCCCCTTAGACCTACCTCATAATAGGCCAAGAAGCCTGCAGCTTTGGTAAATTCGCCCGCCTGACCTGGTCCTGGGGCCTTGGCATTTAGTCCATTGTTGTTGGCATTCTCCAACGTGAAAGATTGACCATATAGCGGCATGCCCATCACAATCTTTCGAGAAGGAGCACCTTGCTCTATCCAATAATTCAGCGAGAAGTTCTGCACGGAAAAGGGCTCTTATTAAATTTATGAAACACAGAATTCGAAAAGTAGTTACCGCATTGAAGTAATCGAAATCGTCATCAGGATGATGATACAAAGGCGCCACATGACCTGTCTTCTTGTCCCACTGTCCATGGAAGTCGTAGGTCATCACGGCTATCCAGTCGAAATAGCGGGCCAGTACTGGTACATCATAGCCTGCATCAATGATCTTTTTGCTGGGTGAGACCGCCGTGGATAGCAACAGACCGCGTGGCTTGAATGCCTCCGATAGTTCCTTTACCCAGGCAGTGAAGCCTTCCTTTTCGTCGGAGAAGCCCTTGTTGCACTCGGTTTGCCAGCACACCGGATACTCCCAGTCCAGATCCAGACCCTCAAATCCGTATTTCTCAATAAAGTCGAGAGCGTGACGTATGAATTTGGCTCGCGCCGCTGCGTTGCGCACCAGCCGACTATATTTGTCGCCCTGCGAGTCGTTCCAGCCGCCCAGGGCCAGGCTGACTTTGACGCCCTTGCTCTTCAACCCACTGACTCGCGTATAGAAATTGTTATCAATGTCCGCCCAGGAGTCGTGGGTACGTAGCGTAAGCTCTGAGTAATCTAAGACTGCAAAACCGTAGACCACATGTGTGCATAGATCCGTGTTAATGTCGTCGGGTGTGTAGCGACCCAGGCCCTTGCGATACCAGGCCCAGTTAGTGAAATAGCACACGACCTTGTAGTGGCCATCCAGTGGTTGGAGCTGTGGCTTATCTGTGGGATAAGTGGGTCTCGGCGTGGTCGTGGGTCGCTGCGTGGTGGGCACGGGCTTGGCTGCAGCCGGGGGCTTAGGCTTTGAGCTGCCGGAGCTGCTGGAGCTGCTGGAGCTGCCGGAGCTGGCGGAGCCACCCGCATCCTCTTTGCACTGCGCAGCGAGTGGCCAATCGCAGTTGCCCAGCGCCTCGTTGTAGTGCAAACCCGGTGGACAGTCAGCTGCCTGCAGGCGATTCCATAGACAGAACAAATACTTGGAGCAGTCGCCGGGATATGGCACACGTTCCTCGCCGTTGCAGGGATCCTCCTCGCTTGCCTTGGACTGGGCAATGCGCAGATACTTCTTGCTGGTCACACACTGCACATTCTGAGGCCAATCGCATATCTTCCGAATGCCGTCCCAGTGCAGCTCGCCGCCACATTCGCTCGGCACGAGCGCTCCATTTACGCAGATGTAGTACTTGCCACAGTTCCTGTGCGTATAGTATTCGCCCTCGTTGCAGCGCGATGAGGTCGGCGGTCGAGGACGTCGCGTGGTGCGATGCGGTTTCTTGGTGGTGCTTCCGGGCTGCGGTTTCTGAATGGGTTTTTGTGTGGGCTTGCGACTAGGCTTGGTCGATGTCGTCGTTCTCCGCGGTTTCTTGCTGGTGCTGGTGTTCGTGGTGCTCGTGCTCGTGCTGCTGGTGGGTCCTTGGGTGGTGCTTCTGGTGCTGGTGGGTAAATTGCTGCTCGTGCTCGTCTGCTGCTTCTTCACCGAACACTGCGCGGAGGCGGGCCAATCACAGCTTTTAACCTCGTTGTTCCAATGCAGGCCGCCGGCACAGAATTGCTGACGCAGTTCACCCGGTACGACGCAGTGGTAATACGCGTTACAATTCTTTGTATCTGGATAGAATTTGCCAGCCGCACAGTTAGAAGGCTGAACCACTGGATAAACCAGTGCGGGGACTGGTAAGGTGGTGTGAGCCGGACGAGCGGTTGTCTGAGTTGGCTTAGGCTTGGGACGTTTCGTTGTGGTTGCGGCTGTGCTGGTCCACCAGGCGGAAGTCGTAGTGGTAGTGCTGGTCCACCAGGCGGGCGTGGCACTTGTGGTGGGTCTTCGGGTGGTTGTACTGGTGCTAGTGCTGCTGGGTCTACGGGTTGTGCTGGCTTGATCCCAGGTGGGCCAGGATGTTGTGTGATCGCTGTGACTGCCTCCCGCTGAGCCATCGCTGCTTATGGTGGTCATTTGGGGTGGTACAGGCGTAATCGGCTGTGGTGGACGCTCGCAGTTGTTGCGCGTGGGCGGCTCAGTGTTCAGACGACCCAAAGCCCGATTGACGGCTTTGAGCAGCGGAAAGGATTCGCTGCAGCAGCGATTCTGATAGTCATCCAGGTCAATGGTCCACGCGGCGATGCCACCAAAATCATTGTTGGCCGCATAGCGCGCCTTGGCCTCCACGCTGGCCGCATCCTCATAGCCGACCCACTGATCCCGCAGCATGGCATAGGGTCCCGACTTGCGGTCCGCATCTCGTCCCGTCTGCCACTTCTGCTTGCGTATGCGCTGACAGATCTCGTAGTAGGCCAACATGCCGGGCTGTTTGGTTAGCTCACCGGCCTCGCCGGGTCCGCTGGCGGCGACACCCTCGCCCACCAGACGCTGACTGCTCTGCTCGAGCGTGAAGCTTTGGCCATAGAAGGGTATGCTCATGATCAGCTTTTCGCGGCGGGCGCCCATTTTCACCAGCAGCTGCATGGTAAAGTCTGTGTTATACTGCGGATACTTGTCCAGCGGCCGACCATAGAGCGGACTCACGTGGCCAGTTTGGCGCTCCCAGGCGCCGTGATAGTCATAGCTCATGACAGTCATATAGTCCACGATTTCGGAGAGCGCAGCTAGCTCGTAGGCTTCGCTGATGATCTCCTTGTAGCCGGAAATGGCTACGCCAATTTGCATCTTGGGATTCACGCGGTTCAGTTCCGAGCGCACTTCACGCAGCAGCTTGGTGAGGTTGGGCCTGTCGCTGGCCGGTCCCTTGGAGCAATCGCTTTGCCAGCACTTGGGGTAGTTCCAGTCCAAGTGAATGCCACTGAAGCCATGCCGCTGCAGGAAACCCGCCGCACTGGAGGCGAACACCTTGCGCTTAATCTCATCGCTGACCAGGCGGGAGTACTTGTCGCCACTTGAATCCGTCCAGCCGCCCATGGCTATGAGCACGGGCACGCCCAAGGCAACCACGCGCTTGTAGTACTGATTCTCAATATCAACCCAGGGATCGAATTCGCGCATGATCAAGTGGTCCGGATCGAGAGAGGCAAAGGAATAGACAATCGCTGAGCATAGCTTCGGATCCAGTTGCTCGGGCACAAAATGACCATCCGCCTTGCGATAGAATGCCCAGTTGGACATATAGCAGAGCACCTTGGGAGCCATGTTGTAGTTCTTCTTGTCCGTCGTCGCCTTCACCTGCGATAGGGCGCCATAGGCGACGCCATTGTCCGAGAGATCTGCCAGGGCTAGAGCACCATAGAACTGCTGTTCCGTATAACTGTCCAGTTCATCGATGTGCTCCAGCTGCTCCAGATCTACGGACTTGAGCAGCTGCTGATGCGGCGAGCCGGAGCGATAGGGCTGCGCCTGATAATCATTATTAGCGCTGGGTGCTATGAAGGCGGCATATTTGTCGGACACCGACCAAGGATCTGGTTGCACCAGCTGGGTGAGCTTCTCCTGTTGCATCTTCTCTGGCACATCGCGCACAAAGCTGGCTGGCGCTCCAAAATACTCTGGCTCGTCGTCCTCTTCGTAGTCGCTGGGCTGCGCCTCCACGGAATCCCGCACAAAGGATCGCAATGGCGAGGATTCACGCAGCTGCGCAACGTTCCGTTCATTGATGCTGGGCACGCTTTCCACGGCGCTGCGCAACGGTAGAAATGTGTCACCAAATGTGGGCCGTATGCTGAAGCGACTCAGTGCACCCGGCTCATCCTCCAGCGGCATGCTCTCCACCGCCGCACGAACGAAGGCCGGCTTGTAGCTGGGCGCCAGATGCACCTCGGGTGCCTCGATGCGAATGTGGCCCGTCGCCGCCGTTGTCCACAGGCATAACAACTGTGCGAGATTCAATGAATTAACATTTAATATAATACAACCAGAAAAACATATCATATTCAGCATGCCGAAGATTGAATACCCTTACAGATACCCTTCTATAACTTAAATGGATCGTTCCTATATAGCAATTCGCAGTTGACAATATCTGCACGTGATGTTGATAAAGTATGTGAATTCTTTATTTGGAATACTAGGGTCTAAAAATTTCGAGAGAAATCTGTACTATTCTCTGCAAGTCTATATATATTCAATATAACAAATAGGCCGATATTACCCGACTGTGTTATTTAAAGTTATAGCTATACATTTTTCATACATTCCGATTGCGCGAATGAATTTTGAAACGATATCAAAGATATTGAACTAAAAGGCCTTACGTAATGATTGATGATGATTATGGTATCAATCATGATTATGATTGATTATGACTTACCAGCAGCCTGCATGGCGTAGCTCTCCTACGCATTATATAGTCTCTCCTTTGTTGCTCTTCTTATGCTCGTATTTAAGCTTTTCCTTAACTGCAAGGAACAATTTAAAATAATAATTAACAAAGCTTGGAATGCATACACCGTTATAATTTGAATCAGTGTGGCCAGACATTAGCTGCTTGCTGTATTTTTAAGTATGAGGTATAAGTATATATACCGTGATTTTTCCCGAAAATATAATTATTATTTTTATTTATTATTTTATTTATTATTTAACTTCTTATTTTATTTATAAATTTATTATTTTATTTATTTAATATATAAACTTGGAACGCATACACCGTTAAAATTGGAATCAGTGTGGCCAGACTTTAGCTGACTGCTGATGTATTATTGAGCATGAGGCATGAATGTACCGTCATTTTTCACGAAAATATAATTATTATTTTTGTTTACATATATATTTATTATTTTATTTATTGATTTATTATTTTATTAGTTAATATATAAATTTGGAATGCATAGACCGTTAAAATTGTAATCAGTGTGGCCAGACATTAACTGATTACTGATGTATTTATTGATATGAATTTACCGTGATTTTTCACGAAAATAGAATTATTATTATTTATTTATTTATTATTTTATTTATTGATTTATTATTTAATTTATTTATTATTTTATTTATTTATTTATTGTTTTATTTTATAATATATAAACTTGGAATGCATAGACCGTTAAAATTGTAATCAGTGTGGCCAGACTTTAGCCGATTGCTGCTGGATATTTGAGCATGAGGCATGAATGTACCGTGAGAGTGAGTTTCCCCGAAAATAAAATTATTATTTTTATTTTAGCTTGCATTTACGCATATTTCCCATTAAATCGGCTGTATAAATGATTTATTACGGCAGACGCACGCATTATCGTCGTATCGTCAGCGTTGTCCTCTCATATTACGTGCGGCTATGCGTCGCCCATTTTAATGAGGTTTGGTTGGAGGCTTCGTTCTTTTTTTTTTTTTTTTGGCTGACAAATTGGGAAGTAATTGCTCATTTTTCAATGTTTTGCGCCCGGAACTTATTGAAATGCCTATTGATTGTAAGCGATAAATGTCTACAGATATATATATATATATTTTAATATGCCAGCTGCAACATGACCTAGGCCCCACGCCCACAAAATTGTATATATATGTGTTTCTTTTTAAAGTTCCTGAAACTGGCTTCCTTTCCCACAGTTATTTGAAAATTGTTATAAATTAGCCCAAAGATTAGGAACTTGTTTTGTACGATGTATCATTTAATTGGCAAAAAAGAAATTTTTAATTAATTTCATAAATCGCTTTGTTCAGTTGACATTAAGTTCAAGTGTTTGAATTTGCCGCTGGGTTATAAATTGAGTTGTGGTTTTGATAATGACGTACGAGGTTTTATCTGATTCTTAAAGCTCTTCTGAGTAGGGCGGCTATAAATACATATATATGGGGACTATCTTCATATATACACTGTTAAGTTAAGTTGGAACTTTGACAAGCTTCAGAGCGAAAATGTTGTAAGCTAGTGTAATTGATATTGAAATCCTCACACAAAGAAACTGGCCTCAAGGGGAATTTCAGCTCTATATCTATACCTTTGTCAGTTTTATGTTTCAATATTTACACTCATAGCATTTAAATTATTAACTGCCTTTCCCTGTCTCTCTCTCGACCCCCGCTTCAGCTCATTTAAATTTGCTCTCTATTGCCAACATTATTGTTTTTGGCTAATATGCAAATCCGTTTTCAGAATTAGGTTAAGAGCTTTTCGTTGTTGACCGGTTTTTTTTCTTATTTTTTTGCTATTAGTTTTATTCCTGCTTCGAATGCTGGCGGCTAATAAACGTAATATGGGATGTATTAGGTATGGTAATCAAAAGAAATGTAACTCGCGGGAGCTTTGTGAAAAGATGTTGGGCAAGTTTTGCGATTAAATTTTTGTTAAGCAGGTTTTCATTTGCGTGAGGGTTCATTGAACGCCAAGAACGCCAAGAACTGATCCTGTCTGCATGTTTGAGATGTGGCAAAAAGAGAGAGATTGTGCCACAGAGAAAGGCCGCGACTTTGAATCAATTTGCCTGCGTGCTGCTTTCAACTTGTACAAATTATGAATATACTTTATAAATACACATTTGATTTTTGCAAAAATAAATCTGAATCAGAGCAGAACAAAAGACCTGTGGCTTACAGTTTGCCATATAAAATACTTGGCCATTTTATGTTCCACTATTAAAAGCCCATAAGCCCGATCGCAATATTGGACTCGCACAACACACACATTCACACAAATTCCCCATGCACTTCACGTACACAGACAAAAATTCCGCTTTATATGCATTTCGATGTCCATTTACTGTTGGAACAACAAACGACACAATTAAACACACGCCACAATATGTTTATATAGAAAGTGTCTGCCTTCTCCAGCACAATTCTCACTTCACTTGACTCATCATTCACTCAATCACTCACTCACGCACACTTACTTAACGGCCTATCCAAAGTGTGTGGGTATATTCCAAGGGAGCCAACGGTATATTATTATTTTTTTTCTTTTTTTGCTGATGCGAGAACCTCTGCGCATGCGCGCCCGAAACGAAACTGTTGGCGATCGCACTGAGGACGCTCCTATTTATACGCAGGCGGAGCGTGCGGCAAAAAGAAGAAAAAAAGCAAAAACGAACGCCCCCAGCAACGTTCTCAAATGTTAAGGTAACCAGAAAGGAAAGCTTACTGCAAATCATCGCATTCGAATACTCTTTTAAATGTTATAATAGATATTAAAAGAGACAATTCTTGCTTTAAGATTAAAAAAAAAATTAAGCAGCTAAACGTTTTAAACGAAACAGCACTAAATTTACTTATATTTTAAGATATTTTTATTAAAATAATTTCATAAGCAAATATATTTTTAATATACTTTATATTTAATATACTTATACAATTTTTACATTTTCCAGGAATAATTTAATAACCAAATATATATTATTTAATATACTTAATATGTACTTATATAATTTTTACATTTTCCAGAAACTTATACAATTTAACAATTGGCAGGAACGTTAAAAAACTAGATATTTTTATAAAAAAGACAATTCGGATCTTGAAACGTTTTTGGTAAGTCTATTTCCATAGTCTTTTTATATTTAAATATGTAAATAAAAATATATAATTAATTTGATATATTTCTAAATGAGATAGTGAAAAAAACAATATTTTTCAAAATAATTTTTTAATCTCTTCAAAATAATCTGAATAATTCGAAATTCTGCCCGTTACAATTTCCGAGCGACTTTGTATAAATATATTCTCTATAATGTCAAACTGTTTGACATAATTGTAATAACTTCCCAGTTGGCAAAAACGAGAAGACAAATAATTTATGCGTACAAAAAATCAAAACAAAAGCGTTAACTTTTTTTTCGGTGCCTTTTTTTTTCGAACGTTTGCTGTAAAACCTCTGCGCGAATATGGAAATAAAAACAAAAAATCCAAAAACCGGCAAACGGCGTACACAATTTGGCCAGCTACTGGAGAAGCTACCGATGTCAATGTCCAACAGAAACTGGTCCAGTTCTTCTGCTTCAACTGTCATGCAAAATCAACGGACGTAATTAATAAACGTTTGGCTTGTCTTTTGGGTTCTTCTTTTGCATATTTCTGTGAGCATAGTATTAAGTGGCACCGAATGATAAATGGGCTGGACTTTCTCTAAGATAGAATGTACTATTACAAAGAATTTCACGTCAATAACTCAGTCAATAACCTAGCTGATGATGACTCTTTTATGCTAATTTTGATTAATATATTAAATATAATTATAGGTATGTTTAGTAATTTGCAAATCTAATAATGCATATTATTTGTATATAATCATCATATCATATCATAATAATATATTTAACTAGGATATAGCCCAGGTGACGTTCTTTTTTATTTATTAACATATATGAAAACAGGAGGGCGAAAAACGTATAGAAACTTGGATACACACAATCATTATCAATATATATATCTAAATAAATACATATATATATATATAAATAAATACATATATATATATATAAATAAATACATATTTTAGGGGGTATTGACCGGCCTTGCCCGTGAAACGTATTGCGCTAGGAATTTTAGGTATTACCTTCCCACCAAGTGGATAATTGAAATCTACCTATGGGTCTCATCATGATCACCACTTCTATTTCAAAATTTTTATTTAGGAAAATAAGTTTGAAGCCGTCAGACAACAATTAAAACTTCGCCTTTACTTTTCACTTTTTACCCGCATTTACTATCCAAGAAGGGCGGATTTGGCGAAAAGCGTGAAACACTCCTCAAATTAATTCGAAAATGAGTTTTCCCTACTTGCGCGTCGAATTTCCAAAAAGTCTGTATCATATAATCATCACGTAAGGTAACTACAGTCAAAATTTCCGCTTAGTACCTTTTGCGGTTTGGGTTGTGCGTTGATCACCAATCAGTCAGTCGGTTAGGACACTCAGTTTTATATATAGAGATGTATATAAAAATATATGAAAATCTCTGTGAACATCTCTACTTACATTTTCTTAAATTGCATAGTAGGGCGTTCTTTTAAAAAAACGTTATTTTCAAATGAGCATCGGGAAGTAAACTTGTTCTTCATTTGTACATACATATACAAACACACAGACATACATACGCATATACAAACACACAGACATACATACGCACATGCATACATATATATGCATTTACACACACACACATACATACATGCATGCACTTCTTTGTAATTTTATCTTAGGGCTTGCTTATTAATTTGGTCTGTCGTTATGATTTTGAAAAACCGTTATCTAAAGCACAGCTCTTGAAATGCACTAAAATTGGGCAAACGCGTGTTGCTATCGCTTAGCCACCACACTGTTATCGCACAACACTGTATCGATAGATGTCGAGCAACCTGTATGCAGCTGCTACCCTTACTGCTGCTGGTAAACAAATAATTGTTGTAAAGTAATATATATAGAAAAGTGGCGTCCCGGGACAAAGCACACGACGGCAGATGCCAAGCAGGTGAAAACAAACAAGTTGCGTAGCGCAGAGTAACACGAGCAGCCGCAACGGATATTGCAGCTGTTTATTTATAGCACCATAGCAACAACAACAGCAACACGAGACCCAACCAACAAGCAACCTCCTACCCCAACGCAACGCAACCCAACCCGACCAACGAATAGTTGTGAGTAGGCGTCGTAATTGGCCGCGGCCGCAAGTGCAAGGATACACGATTTACAGTTGCCATCGCAAAGTCCCGTCAAAGTCAAGGTGAGCAAGCGAACAAAGCGGCGGCAGCGTGACGTCTACATTTGACATTTGCGTGTGTTATGAAATTATATTTATTGACGGCCTATCGCAGCCACAAAAACTTGATTGTGAAATTGATTTAAACTTATCAGATTTTAGAAACAATTATGGAGCCAAACGTAACTGCAGTCAACGTAGCAACGGCTCCAGCTGCAGTGACGGCAGCGGCGGCGGCGGCGGCGGCGCCAAATAGCAAACGCGGCACGCAACAAGGACGCAAAAAGTCTGGACCCAAGTTTGAGCTAACCGAGGCACAGAAATCGGACATTAAGGAGGCGTTTGATTTGTTTGACAACGAGTGTACCGGCTTCATTGAGGTCAAGGAGCTGAAGGTGGCCATACGCGCGTTGGGCTTCGAGCCCAAAAAGGAGGAAATCAAACGGATGATAGCCGAAATCGATAAGGATGGCAGCGGACGCATTGCGTTCAATGACTTTCTACACCTGATGACCATGAAAATGGCCGAAAAGGATACCAAAGAGGAGATTTTGAAAGCGTTTCGTTTGTTCGATGACGACGAAACGGGCAAGATCTCATTTAAAAACCTGAAACGAGTCGCTCGGGAACTCGGCGAAACACTAACGGACGAGGAGTTGCGCGAAATGATTGACGAGGCTGATCTGGACAACGATGGCGAAGTCAATCAGGAGGAGTTTCTGCGTATTATGAAGAAGACCAGCTTGTATTAATCACATTTTCATTAGATTCAAATTGAATTCATAGTCATAAGCTGCATAAGTGAACATATTAATTTTTAAGTTTATTTTTAAGCTTTTGTGTAGCTAATTTATTGCCCAATTCTGCTTCATTTGCTCAACGGCAACTTCTTGAATTTGGGCTGCTTTTCATATATAAGTCCCATGTGTGTTCCTTTCTCTGAATGTACAAGACAAGCAAATGCACCGCCTGTATTTTTGCACAATATAATCTCAATGATGAATAAAACATCAGCTAGTTAACGTTGTCAATAATTAATGTTGTTTGAACTGACTTAGACTTATCGCAATCAAGATATCTCTAGTCTAGACTGCTGGACTTGAGTATAGCCCTTGCAGAGGTCTCAATTGCCTTTACACACACACAAGAGTAACTTATTTACATTCGTTCCTACGGTTACATATAAAAACATTGATTGGGAGAAAGAAAAGGCAAGGAACAACGCTAATCAGGCAGAATCCAATAAAAAATCGGAAGAACAGTGTAAAAAGAACAGTAAAATAATTTAAAACAATTCAAATGAATATAAAGACCCAATAGGTATATCAATTTTAAACAGAGTCTCAGTCTCAATTTTCACTATAGGCATCGAATTCATAAGAACAACTAATAATTAAAATTTTCAGGACGCCACGAGGGCATTAAATAATACGTAAACCAGAAGTGTTCAACATACAGTAATATTTAAAAAAAGATTTATTATAGAAATATTCCCTTCTAAGAGTAATAGTAACTGCTTTGTAGCAAGACAAATTGGATTTAGAAGAAAGGATGCAGTATATTATTTTATGAGCAGTATGTTAGTTATGAGTATACAAGCCAACATGCATACATACTTCTGCTACAGTTGTTAGTTTTATTTAAAAAAAAATAATACGACATAGTTATGTTGATAATATTTATGTTTTGTCAATGGCAACATTTATAATTGATGCATCATAGTTGAGGCTGCCCTCTTCCCCTTAGCTGAAGCCTCATTTCCCCAAGGTGCCATATCCTCCATTGCTGAAGCTGCTGTCTCCTCCTTCGCTCAAACTGCCGTTTCCTCCAAATACGGCTTCCGAGCCTTTTCTGATATTTCCAACGAGTCTTATAAAATATTTTCTGTGATAAGTTTTTGATTCAAAACATCTTTGAAAAAAATATTTTTTTCAAGCCGGTAGCAATATTAAAAAGGTCTCTTAAAAGGTAAGGCAAAAGGCTCGCTGGAAATTGTTTTTTTTTTTTTTTGTAATATTCATTTTCAGTTCAAATTTTATTTAAAAAATAAATAACATTTTATTTGATTTAAAATTTAAACTAATTTCTTTCTTATAATTATAATAAAAGTTAATACATAAATAAATTAGTGTAATTTAAAACTATTTTTCATTAATATTATAAATGATTATTAATGTTAATATTTTATTATATTACATTATATTATAAAATTATATTTTCATTTTTTTGGCATCAGCCTTTTCTGCCTGCGCATATTGAAAGTATTTTTGGGTTACGCGATCGAAATCGCCGTCTTCCATCGCAAACTTCTGTTTAAATGCATCTGTAGACAATAACAAAATAATATTATTTTGCACATATACAAGTTATAAAAGTAATGCTTACTTCGAATTGCCTCTAACACACATTTTTTCTCCGTCCCACGCCAGGAGCGTAAGATTTATATGTGAATAGTAAAATTATTTATTTTAAAGTTTCCTTACCAAGTTTTTAAAGGAGTTGTCTTCTTTGAGACATTCTTCAAATGCCTCAAAGTCCCCAAGATTTGCTTTTGGCTCACTTGGCAGCGTCAATTTCACCTTGTTCTCTTCTCCGCAAACTCGTCCCTTTATAACAGAAATTGCATTTCTTAATGAAATTAATTCCGCCCCTTGACGATCAATTTTCATCAACATTTGATTCATCAGGCTTAATAGTTCTGCAAATATATTAAAAAAAATCTATTAAATATGGATTACATTTGAAATTGTTTTATAACATTACCAGAAGATTGCATTGAGCTTGCTTTTCTACTTCATTATTATTAAAAATCTCAATTTTTTCCGCGACTCGTTTCACATGCCGGTCTTCGCAAATATATTGCCTGCTTTTTCGTTTATATGGCATTTTTCACAACTTTCCTATTTATTTTTTAATTTATTAATTGCTCGCGCATGTAATAAATAAAGGGAATAGTTTAATTATTAATAAACACTTGTTAATTACTTACCTCTCTACAGTAATCCAATTTCCGCTGTTCACTTAAACCACGTGTCTGCTCGCTTCGGCGGACAATAGAAAAGAGAACAAAGAAATTTTGCAACCCCCAAAAAAACACATATTTTACGGGCTGAGTAGGAAACAACAGCAAAAACAACACAGCATCCGAATGCCGCGTCATTTTTACTCTCTCTCTCTCTCTCTCTCTTGACGATATTGCCCTCTCTGAGCACGATTAATATTTGAAACAAAAACAACACACCATTCTCTCTACTGTACACGCATTTTTATCGCAAAGATCTCACTGCAACGCTCGTGTGCGAGTGTTTTGCGATACAAATATATCCCTCTCCTTTTCTGCTCACATACGAGCTCATTTGTGAGCATTTTGCGAGACTCAGCTGGGTACATACATTCATGCATACATATGTATATACTTGCTATCATTGACTTGATACACATCAAAGCCTTGCGTCGCGCTGAAAGGCAGCTCACGCCCTCGTGAGGTTTTACTTAAAAAAAAAAAACATACATATGTACACATACATACACACATGCATATAAACATATATACATATAGTGGGTACTCAAAGGCCTCGCCCGTTGCAAATGTTATGCTTATAACTTAAGATAAATATTAGTTTAAAAAACAGCCAGAAAACCCCTTTCTTTGATAGATAATATGTGTAACCAACTTTTGGCCATTGTATTGTAGGCTTAGGTCCTGTTAGCTTTGTCGTCTTTTGTTGTTGCTTATAATTCTCAAGTGATTAAAGGTTCGGACTGAGGACGAGGCCTTGCAAATCAATAGTCGGCAGTAAAGTCTGCTGATGATAGATCAGCGAGTTTCTTGTAAGTCATACATAATTTCTCTCCATGATTATACCATTATATATTTATTTTTATTATTTTGCTTTTATTCATATTGAAAATTCTCTAAACATTTTAATACTTTGCAATCCTAAAAACTAAACAAAAAGGCGGAACACATAAAAAATCTAAGCACACAATAAACTTAAATTCGTTGTAAACATAATATATAGTGTCGGTTGATATACCTAAGTACATCTAGGGAACTGGCGAACTAGGGAATATCTAGACGAACGGCGCATTGAAGTAAATTTTGCGTTTGCTCGGCAAGGGTTTGGTGCTCAGGCCGGAGCCCTCGATGAATTTCTCGAAACTGGCCAAATTCTTTTTCATCTGTTTTGCCTTGGCGGGCTCCTGTTTAATGGGCTTCTCCTCCTCCTCCTCCTCCGCCTCCACTTCATCCATTTGCTGCTCCTCCTGCTCGGGCTGCAGCTGAAACTCCTCGTCTAGATTGTATTCATCCGCGGCCGTGACCAAGCACTCATTGTCGTCCTCACTTATCTCCGCCAGCATGCCCTCGCCAGCCGTAATCTTCGGCGCCTCGTTGCTTCTGTCATACTCTGCGTCCAGATTATACCAATCGAATTCGGCCTGCAGAGGGAGGCCGCCGCCGCCGCCGCTTGTGTCCGCCAGCTGCAGCAGCGATTTCGATGTCGGCGTTGTTGGCAAGCTTTTGGGCGTTGTGGGCGTGGTTGGTGAACTGGGCAAGCTCATGCGCTTGTTGATCTCGGCTAGTATATTGGGCACATGCTTGCGCTTGTACTGGGACTGGGACGGAGACTGGGACTGGGACGGCATGGTCTGTGTGCTGGTCGAACTGGGCGGCAGCTGGAGGCGCAGCGTTTTGGGCGCCATCATCAGATAGTCGGCGGATTGCTTGGGCGCTATGATGGCCGCCACATTTGGTAGCTTTGGTATGTCGGCGAAAATCTCTTCGATTTCCTCAGTCTTGTGCGAGGCGGCCGCAGAGCACGCGTCATCATCGGAGCTGTTGCGATTCAGCTCCTGTTCGAGTTCCAGATCTCGTTCTCGTTCACGTTCTCGTTCCCGTTCCCGCTCCGGTTCCGTTGGCGTGCTCGATTCGGGCGCCTTATGCACATCGGCCACAATTTGTACGCTCGTCACGCCCACCTCGGCTATGGAACAGTAGTCCGGCTCGCTGGTCGTTGTCGTTGTCGTTGACACTGCACAATCGCCCTCGTCCTCCAGCTGCTCCTCCAGCTGCTGCAGCGACTTTTTGAACTTGAGCAGATTAGCCGGCTTCGGCGGCAATGCGGGTGGCAATTTCTGTGGCATCTTTGCGCTGCTGGCATTGGCATCCGCTGCCGCCGCGGCCATGTCCACATAGAGATTTGAGGCACGCTCGGAACCAATCGGTTCGTACTCATTGCTGTAGATGCTCTCGTAGTTGAGGGTATCACCGGGTGCAGCGGGTGCCGCCGCTGCCATTGGATGATAGTGTGAGATCATATCGTCGTTCTGTTGTTCCTCCTCATCCTCGTGCCGGGGCACATGCACCATGCTGTTCTTGGTCGAAAAATGGACTCGCTTGCGTCCATTTGTGCCGCTGCGGCCGCTCAGCGAGCTGCGTCGCGGCAGATTGGCAGAAGCCTTGGGCGCCAGCGCCGACTTGGGCGTGGCGGGCTCGCGTAATGTCTCCTCCATGGACTGTTGCAGCAATATTTGATTGACGCACTCCAGCACGGGATTGACGGCGCCCTGGCCATAGGGCTTGGCCACCGCCGGCGCTGTGCTCAGCTCCTCCTGATCCGAGGCGCTGGCATACCAATCATCTGTGGTCGTCTCGTAGATCTGTTTGGGTGACGCCTCGGAGAAATCCGCACAGCGTCGCTGCACAATTTTAATAGCGCCACGTGACATTAGCTGCTGCTCCTGCTCCGGATCTAGTTCATCGAAATCCTCATCATCCTGCGTGGGCGAAAAGATGCCATCGTCCTCCTCCAACTGTGCGGCCACCGAGGAGGCCGTCTTGCTGCTACGACTGGAGGCGGAACTGTTGCGCCTCCGTTGCTGCTGCTGCTGCTCCAGTTCCAGGCTGCTGTGCTCGGAGTAGTCGCCGTCCTGGAGCGTTGCCTTCACGCCGTGCATACGTTCCATGGCTCTGGCATAATTGTGCAGCTGCTCGTAGCTGGTCTGCGAGTCCTCGCGACTGATGCTGCTCGTATTCTCCTCCGACTGCTGCTCCAGTGCCGCATCATCGATGTGCATCGCCCGGGAGCGCATGTAATCCCTAAATGTGCCCGCCGTTCGCTTGCTCGTGTAGCGCACACTGCGCCTGGCGCCATAAAACGACGATGAGACAGTGTCATCGCTGGAAGAGCCGTGCTCAGCTGCATTGGAGAGAAGGGCAGGGAGAGAGAAAGAGAGAAAAAATTAATATTTTATAGAGCATAAACTAAGGATTGCTTAGAGATGGGAGCGTGAAAGGGATCACTACACGAAAGTCACAGAGTTTCCATAGTTCCGAAATAATTAAAATAAATATATGGAATTAAGTGAAATAAGTTGTCGTGGTTTGAATATATATAGTTTAGTATATATAGTCGGTTCGTAAAATTGGTTTTTCTCATTCGTTTTTTATTTCATTAATCAGAGATAGATCAAATTTCGTGTGCAAAAAGGTTCTTGGCAATCCTAATTTGTTACTGACAAGAATCCTAATGAAATTATTAAGTTTCGTTAAGAATATTATATATATGTACTTATATGTATTTTGTTGTCTCTTGGGTATTCACTGTTCTTTAATTAATGTTTCCTTTCGCTCCCATCTCAATAGTTGAAATATTTTTTGCGTAACTCACCTTTGGCGCTGACGCCCAGTTCCTTGCCACAGGTCTGTGTGCCACAGGCTCTCAGCTCAATGTCATAGAATTGCTTGCGGCAATTGTTGCATTGCAAAGCCTCGAGCACTAGGCATTCCTCCACATGCTCCTCCTCGTCGGCGTTGGTCTCTTGGTCGGCGACCATGCCCTCATCCCGCTGATGATCAACCAGACGCTTGCGCAGCGCACGATTCTGGCGCAAGAGGCGACAGATTTCGGCATCCCGATCCAGCAGACGCTGATTGACCGTCTTCATGTCATTCTTTAGCTTGGACTCAAAACAGATCAGGGACTTGACCACACAGGCCAGCTCCTCGGTGCGCCGGCGCTTCTCCTTGGCCAGTTCGCGATGCAGCTGCTTGTTCTGCTGATCATAGTTGGAGATCATTTGCAACAGTCGGCGACGCTGTTGGCGCTCGGGTGAACTGGCCCCAGTGGGGCCAACTGGCGCACCCGACGAACTGGAGCCGGAGGAGCTGCGTTGCACCTCGCTGCTGCTGCTGTGTGTGTTTCTCGAGGATTGCGAGTTGTCTGAGTTCTGCAAAGATATTCAAATTATATCAATTAGTTGCTTGTTTATTGATTCCTTTTCTAATCCCAAAAAATACCTTGTGGTGGCCCAGCACATGGAAATGACCCCCGAAAGCCCATTTGCCCACCATCGCTGAGGCTTGTGCACTTTGCCTGGACAGCTCTCAATGACAACTGCCGTGGACCCGGGCACAATGCCGATTGATAGCCAAGTGCGACACGTTATCTCACCTGGGTCTTATTCTAATGACGCACACCAACTGCTCTGGTGATCGCTAAGTGAATGTTAGTTATCTACTCTAGGACTATGCCCCAAAGGGGAATATGCGCTTTCGCAATCATTCCGACTGTGTATTAAATCTCTTGAAATAGACAGTGCGAATTGGAAGGTTAAGAAGTTGACTTAGTTCTTTTAAGGAAATATCATTTTATACTCGCTGCAGATCAAAGAATTTACAAAATGCTCTAAGAAGCATGCTACAACATTTTTTGTGGATTTAGTTGAGAAAGTGAAATTCGGAATATGAAATTTTGTTCGAGCGCTGAAAAGTATTCTACATATTTTAAACAGACTGAATATTTAGAAAAACTCATTTCGATTGATGGAAACTAAAATTCCATACGTGAAATATTGACAGACATTTCATACACATTTTTTACATCTTGTTTCAAACATTTTTATAGAAGAATCAAGAAGAAGGTTTCGTAACTATGTACAATTACCTACTTTTTGATGGGTTCTATCGTCATTTAAATTTGAGGCGACTTTTTATATGATTGATCAGAAAAGATATGATAAATATTTTCTATAAAAAAAAGTACATTAATACCCTACCCTCATTAGCCCATCAAATTTTAAAGGGCATATGCTTGTCCATAGGCGAGAAACAATTCTGGCCACAGGTCTATCTTATCGCATGTTTTTGGACTTGCAGGCCAAAAATAAATGCGAGACAATGTTGTTGGATTTATGGCATTATTATTTTCGAACGCTCGATACAAATCGGAGTCATCGTCATCCGCCGCCGCCCCCACCGAAGGCCATTGGCACAGTCAGTCGGCATCTGCGTGCTATTGACCAACTATGGGAATTGTTGCAGCAGCTGTAAAACTCTGAAGACGACACGTACTCGCAGATACAGATACAATATGCGGCATGCGCTATGCGAATAATGCGACAAGCAATGCAATACGCTTGATTTCAACGGAAAAAAAAAACAAAAAAACAATTAATGCCAAGGCGAATTGGCCAGCTCATTGGCCAGCTCATTGGCCATTGGCTTATCGCGTTAATTAGAAAGCTAAGAAAGCAATCGGGAACAGTCATCTATCTAAATGTTTAAGCCTCCAAAAAGATAAGCAAATCCCCAGCCAGATAAATAACTATTTGCACAGTAATGCAGCCTCTAAGACTTGGATGCAGATAAAACAAATTTTAACTATATATTAGGTCTAATGTCAAAACAAATAGAAAGTGCAAGACTATAATTATCACAAGGTGGAAGCTAAGGGCTCGTATCTCTACCTTTCCAGTTAATTGTTTAATTAATGAATTTTCAAAGATCCATTATGGTAGAAAAATCCATACTCCTATTGTAGATTAAGTTTAGGGAAAATTTAAGACCTAAGATATATCTTATGGTAAAACAAACCATGCTCCTATTGTAGATTGTGTTAGGGAAAATGTAAGACCTAAGATATATCTTTAATTGGAAAATAATTGCAATATGGTCTTCTTTTAAACACACAAAATAATAGAAATCTTCGATTTTCAATTTGTGTTCTGGTTTTCTTTTAAAACACAATATAATACAAATCTCAGATTTTCAATTTGTGTTATAAATTTTATAAATTCATGGAATCTTAAATTTTTAGCCCAGTCTAAATGAAACCCAACTAGGTTTAATGATATGCCCATTATGCTAGGTCTCCATCTATGACTTACATGCTCTGCACTCTGCTTTTGCAGTCTCGCTCCGAATCCGAGTTTCTTGTAGGCAGGCGTGTGTCCTGCTGCCTGTGTGTTGAAATGTGAATCCAAACTGGGTTCCGGCAGTTTCTGGTAATGCTGCAGCGTGGCTGCGCCCGTCGTGGACTTGGAACGCATTGTCACTTCGCTGTTGTTGCTGTTGTTGTTGTTGGAGCTGGGGGATTTGACCTGCACGGCCTCATAAAACTCGCCGTCGCCGTGACTGCGATAGCTGCCCTGCAGACAATTGAATCCTCCCCAATCCGTTTGCAGATTACTGTAAAGTGCGCTGCTCTCCGCCGAAGATTTGTCCTTCTCTGTTGGGGACTTGCCTCCGCCTCCGCCGCCGCCGGCTTGGCACTTGAGCGTATCGTAACCGTTGAGGAGCTCGCTTCTGATGAACTTTTCAATGAATTGGCTGGGAGACTTGGCGCTCAGATTGGCAAAGAATTTTCCGCCCGTGTCACTGAGGCTACTCGTCGATCGCCGATGGCTGGCTGCTGTTTGCTGTGGCTTGTGATTCTTGTGAGGAAGGCTGTTGCTCTTCTTTTGGCCACCGTTCTCATCCGTGGATATCCTTTGGTCCGTCGTCGTTGCTGTTGCTGTTGTTGTTGTTGTTTGCGGCAGGCCATAGATCTGGGAGCTGCTCAACAGACTGAACATATTGTTGGGCTTGGGGCTAAGGGCTTGCTGCTGGCTATAGCTGGCTTCGTATCAGGCAAACTTCATGGCCCGGCTCAAAAAAGCGCTGAAAAGAAACAGCGAAAAGATTAGCTACTTTTTAGAGATGCCGAGCATAACTTAAACTAATCAATTACTATGATTCCATTCAATTACATGTGTATCTCACAGATGTGTAATAACCAAGTCAATTAGCCGCCTATTTAATGTTTCAATTGTTCAATATGTTGCAAGCATTAAATTGTCATAACAATTTGACATATTTATCGCATTGCTTTTACCCCAAAACAAAAACGTAAGACGTTTTATTATTTATACGCAATGCCTTAAATTGAAAGGTTAACTTGATATTGATATAACTATAAATATTTATAATCATGTCAATAGCAGGAATCATGTGAATTTTAAGTGAATTAAGTTTTCAAACTTTTGTCAGTTTGACAACCCTCTGATAATATTGCAAATACTCTTCTACATTAATATTTTAAGCCATATTTATACGTGGCTTCCTCAGACAATAGACAAATGTCCTCTTTCCCCCTCTGAAAGATGAAAAACCAATCTTGATTTTTAAAATTAATATCTAATGATTGTCTGCTGCAATAAGCAATGTTTTCTTTCTACAACTACACATACATTTCTGTGAATATACATGTATTAGTGAGCTTTCGTTCAAAAGCTCTACCAGCTATACTTTTAACATCCACGCTGTTTTATGAGCTTTTGAGGCATCTGTGTAGATGTGCATTGTACGTGAGCTAAAAGACAGATAAAGGGTCGTATGGATATATCTGATAAGGCATTTATAGATTATTTGTATAAGGTTCATTGCTTTATTTCAATCTGTTGCAATCAATTTCTACTGCCGTAATATATGCCAACTATTTATGATGATTTTTTTTTCCGGTAGACATTCTATACTCTATCTTTTCAAATCAAAAAGTCTGTTATAATTAAAAGTTCAATTACTGCTGAAATGATTTCTTATCAATTAATGGCTTTTGCTTTGGTCGTCGTTTGTTGTCGCCACAACATGAATTTATAACAATAGCTCATTTATTTATTAATTTTTTGAACAAACAAGCTGAAAATTGTTTCATCGTCAGCGCTTTGTTTGCGCTAGCTGGGAATTTCTTGGGGCTGCCCAAAATTTGGTTTATTGTGTGTTCATTTGATAGATGTGGCATGTAGTAGGCAGCAGGCCCGGCCCGTCTGGCCTGGCCTGGCCTGGCCTGAGGCCCTATTGTGGACGTAACCTTGAAATTGGTGTTTTGGGTTAATTATATGGCACCTGCGCGAAGGTTCTTGTTGTAAACTTTTATGGCCCCGATTTATCGATGTTTGTATACAGACTATAAATAAAATTGATTTGTAACAAGAGCTCCCAAAAGTGTTGCAACATGCGTTTGGATTTTCTACAGAGATTTCCCGGTAATAACAAATGGCCGGGTTAAGTAACTGGCTTTGTTCTTTTTAAACACTTTTTGGCCAATTTTTTTTCGTTGTTGCCACTTTTGGCTATTCGTTACGGTTATGGCAATAACTTTATGAACTGTAAAGAGAGGCAATTAAAAAGCGCCAAGAAAATGCGCAACAAACACGACGCCGACGCCGACGTCGACGTCAACTGCGACGGCGACAGCAACGCCGCGCATGCGCAGTCATTGGAGTGGGCAGCCGCAGTCGCTTTTCCTTTTGCAGCGCGTGCTTGAAGCCAATTAAGCTCCGTGCAATGATCATTACACCTGCTCATAATGATAATGCAATGCAAAAGAAATTTAACAAAAAGTATATCAAAAAGCGTTTCCCAAATTAAAAGTAACATAAGTAACCATTTGATTATGGTTTTTTGTCTAGTTGGGTTTTTTCTTTTTTTGTTTTAAATAGCCTGTGAGAAAGTTGGCTGAATAAGTTTTGTTTGCCAGACGAAAAATGAAAATCATGCAGCTAATTATAATCTGATGGCAAGCAATTTATTTGTTACGCTCTCAGATAACTTAAGAGAGAGAATTTGTTAGTATGCAAGTCGATTTCAGATATTCTTGAATATGTCAATTCACCATAATTTACATCATTTTTCGTATGTGTTCCTTGATAGAAGGTATTAAATACTGAAATTCCTCAAGGGGCAACTAAATTTTAGTATACTTTATTAATTCTCTCTTTAAAGCTATTTACTATGGCATCAATTTATCATAAAAAGTATTTAATTTCTTTAATATACAGCTGAATGCAGCAGAATCAATTTATCAAATAAATTAAATGTCTCATAAGAATTTAAGTTTTAAAAAATATTAAAAGTTGAAACTTTCCAAATGTTTAACAAATTAATAGAATATTAATTTTATATATATCAGAATTCAGGCGGCAAACACAAATATTTTTAACAAGCATTAAACAATCTCTTGGCCATATAACTTGACTCTAGAGAACAAGGATTTAATTTGCAAATTCCCAAATTGGTTAGCTGAAATCAATATTGTTGTATATATAAATATGCTAACAAGCTGTGGCTTACAATAAATTTTCATTTGATACCATTTCAAGCGTAAATTATGCAGAACCTATCCAGAGAATACTATCTCAAGCCGAGATCATTTATTATACACACGAGTTGGTGGTCAGTTTTTGTGCGTCTTGTCAATGGGTAAACATTTATTCACTTCAGGCTCTCAATTATCGCATTTTGAAATCACAATATAACCATAGAATGGACAATTTTGTTAAGGTGGGGGCCTATCTACAAGTAATCATTTGTCTAACTGGAAATGACCATATTTGTGTATACAATATTTATGCCACAATAATCTAGCAATAGATTCAGCATTTGTGCGGCTAGATTTATTAGAAATTCGAACATTGACTGACAGGCTGAGGCGATCCAGCTAACCAGCTAGCCAGCTAGCTAGCTAACTGGCCAAGAGCCGAGTCTTAACAAATTGTCTTAATTGGCCGAGACGAATGGGTTGGCTGCCTTTTTAGGCTCGAATCGGCTGCCGCCGCCGACGGCGACGACAAAATGCTTCATGCTCTAATCAAATTTTTGGTTGCCAAGGCGGATTTGCTTGGTGGCTGGGAAAACGGTTTTTCAGTTGGAAATATTAAAATCTCGTTAATGCCGCGCAAATCTGCTGGATTTGCTAAAATAAACAGTGCACGAGCCACGCCCCAAACGGCTTACTAACTGAAGTGAACACAACTAAGCCCAAACATTTGTTCAAGATTAGCTTTGGTGGGATTGCTATTCATATGGGAACAGGTACACTGTGCTGGTTGCACTCCTGGGTGCAGGGTCTTAGTGCACACTGTACAGGTATTCGGCTGTAATCGGCGACCACCTACAACCCGGGGCACGGCCCGATTGCATCCAGCTGTGCTGTGCGATAAAAAGTGAAAGGCTAAATGGCCAGAGTGTGCAGGACACACGGCTTATTGTCACCCTGTGAGCCATGCGGGACGTGCCAATGCCTGACAGCTTCGTCTAAGCCGCTCCATGGGTGGGGAGAGGGAGTGGGAGAGGGATGGAGGGCGGGGGCATGCTACAATTTAAAAGACCAAATCGCTCGCCTTGGGTGGCGTCTCACGTAGATGTTCACAAAATTTCCATTGCAACATTGAAATTTCATTCGATAAAGGTCGTTCCGTGGTCTCTTTCTCTCTCCTTTTGTTCGAGCTCTTTGAAATAAATCAAAAAACGCAAAAATATTTGAGCGCAGGGAGAACAAAGAGACCGAAAAGCAGGCATTGCATAAATATCGGATACAAAAAGGACCCAAAAACCAAGCCGAGATGATAACACTCGAAAGTGCGGACCCGAACTACCTGAGTCGTAAGTGTGTATAGGCATTCGTGTGTTTACTTGGAATATAGTGTATCTAGAGACAGCAGGTATTTGCCTATGGCTAGTTTAATTTCAAGGTTTGACACTTTGATGTGTTGGCATTAATTAGTGGCCATTGATATTGGGAATTCAGTCAATGAAATCCTAGTCACAGCGCGCGCCTCGGGTCACAAATGTAAATGAGGCGAGCTGGGCTCTAATCAAAGTCAACGATCGGAGACCCTAATGATCCCAAACGAATGAAACTTGCCAGCCGTAACAAAAGAAAACTCCAAACAAAACTCAATATGCGGGAGACCCATAATGCCAGAAAAAGAAATACAAACAACAAAAAGACCTTAAAAAAATCCCAACTGAAATGTTCTAGAAATGTTGCAATGAACGGTAAATGCTATGAAAATGGGTCAAGCATAGATGGCAATTAAATTGTCAGCTTTTCAAGACGTTCATCGATCTTTTTTTCTATTTTTTTTTTGGAGAGGGCGGACTGCAGGAAAATACGCTAACAAATTGTCAGTGGGCTCTGACAGTTGTGACCTGATTTTCGACGGCAAACTGAAAAGAAAACTGAACAGAAAAAACAACAAACGGCGTCGAGTGACAAAGCTGAAGGAAAATAACTTTTTCTAGACCTTCCATCATCTTGCATAACGGTTTATTGCCCCGCTACCCACCGAGTTTGGCCGAAAAACACTCGCCGTCTAGCTGGGAAAACTCATAAAACTCAAGTGTGCAAAAGGTACTGACAATACAATCGGGAGAGAAAAGTCGCTCTTTCGTATCATTTTTTACACTTGACACGTGCAGCGTGCGATACGAATCGATCGGCACAAAACTATTGACAAACTGACAAACTAACTGACTGACTGACTGACTGACGGACTGACTGACTGACTGATGAGCGTTTGCGAAGTGTGAATGCGTTTGTGACTACCTGTCACAGACAGGTAAATATCAGAGACCATAAGCATACCCACGCCGACAAACGCTATTCAAATTACTTTCATTCAAGCCGCGCCGCGCGACTCGTGAATGTTTGCCGCGTGATTGATTAGCCAAGAGAGTTGCGCTTGACGCGTGTTCGCGAGGCGGTACCAATAAATGTTACGATGTCAGACCCATAACTCTGACTTCCGCATGTCCATTGATTGGTTAGCACATGTGGAAAAAACATAACTTTTACTGTAAACGTTGATATTGTTTTTCCAAGGATTTCTGCATGTTGATGTCTGCATTGTTATATGATTGATATGATATGATAATATAATTGTCATAGAAAATAACAATTAGCCAAGAACTAATAGGAATCATATTGCAAAGGCAAGCTTTAAAACTCCATTGATTCATTTATTATAAAGTGAGCTGTCTGTAGAGCAGTAAAAAGTTGATATTCATAAAACAGCTTCTAACATTAATTTCAGATATCTGAATGGAGTACATTTAAACTACATTGTTCTATTCTTTATAAAGTGAATAGGAATGGAACTGTCTAATATTCATAAAACATCTTCTAACATCAGTTTCAGACATCCAATCGCTTTACTCTCTCTCTCTCTCTCTTTCTCCCTCTCTCTCTCTCTCTCTCTGTTTTGTACCAGTTGGTAACATGACCCTTCACCTTTCACCCACATCTTATCTTAATCGACCATACACTTGGGCTTAGTGTGCTTCTAAAGGATGCCCTGCTTATCCTCGCTCAAGCTAAACTAATCTTATCTAATCCTTTGTTCTATCTTATTAGTAAATCTTATACTAATCCTCATTATTTTTTTCTTTTTTAATATATGTTTTATTTTGCGCTGGAATCGATCAGTGCCTTTTGATCTTTACCAAGCGAATGGCTTTTACCCACACCTTGTCTTGCTTCTAAAGGATGAAGTGCTTGTCCTCGCTCAAGCCAAGCTAATCTAATCCTAATTTTTACCTATCTTTGTCTTATTTTAGAAGTAATCCTCATTATTTACTAGGTAAAATAAGTACTGTATGTTGAGTTGTGGAATATCTCTCACAGTATGCTCTCTCCATGTCCCTTTGCGTAACTTTCCAGCTAGGGAAAAGCATATAAACGAAAGTTAAATGCATTGTGGCGTTACAAATTTCACCAGTATCGTGTAGTGTAATTTTTATGAGCTGTTGGCTGCACTAAAAACTATTCAAAACTCAACAAAAACCGAAACATGCGATAAAATAAAAAAAACACGCTTGGAAAAGATACGAAATGCAAATCAGCTGCAAACACGGCTAATTTGTTGTTAAGACTTCAACAACAACAAATGAAAGAGCGTAAAATTTCGCTGGCAGCAGTTTTTTTAATCGCAGGCAAATTAATGATTTTCAAACATGCAAATTAAATTGAGGAATTAAAAAAAAACCAAACACTCAAAAGAAAACGGCCAGACAGCAAATCAGAGAAAAAATGACTGCCAAATATTAAATACGTAAACTTGATCTACAACATTTTTTTTTATCTGTGCGCCTCCTGACCAACTAATTGCTGAATTCTTGGCGAAAAACATAAAAAAGTGTGTGTTTGTGTTTGTGTGTTTTTTTTGTATATTCTCAAAAAGTGTTTTGTAAGAAACGGCATTGAGGTACATTGACCTTTTAATTAAATTAAAGCACAACAAGAACGAAACGTTGCGAAAATAGCAACGGGTATTATGCGCATTTTGTTTGGTTCTACCCTTTTTCTAATCCAATTAAAAAGCATTGCGGGAACCTTACAAAACCAAGCCAAACTCGATGATGGTTAACAAAAAAATGTTTAAAAAAAGAAACACGTAACAGCAAATCAGAGTACAGCTGACCAGTACGGAAATTGCCAAGTCAGGGAACCAAAAATTTGAGGTATAGCGCATCGAGTGTAATAGATATATATGCTAGATGAAAAGGAACTAAAAGAACAAATTCGATTATGATGGAAGGTTGTTTATGATTAGCTTTTTGTTGTCGGAGAGTAGTTTTTATACCCTGAACCCATTGAAAACGGGTAAAAAGGTTGTAATGTATTTGTGCAAATGTATGTAACAGGCGGAAGGAAGCATCGACCCCACAAAGTATATATATTCCTGATCAGCATCAATAGCCGAGTTGATCTAGCCATGTCCGTCTGTCTGTTCGTCCGTCCGTCCGTCCGTCCGTATGTATGAACGCAAGGATCTCAGAACCTATTAGAGCTAGAGACTTCAAATTTTAGCTGTAGGTTCTCCTAGTGCCATCGCAGATCGAGTTTGTTTCCGATATTCGATAACTTGCCCCGTTTCTAAGTAATCGATTGAAATCGATATCGAAATCCTGTTGTTTGAGCAATTTCGGCAAATAATATGAGCTAGAGTCACCAAACTTGACATGTAGCTTCTAGAATAGTATATATATATCAAGTACCTTTCATTTTATACCTATCGCCTTTTGAAAGAAGAGGGTTCAGGGTATCCCCTAGTCGGGAGCTCCCGTCTAGAACCTCTTACTTGTTTATTTTTTTCATTGGATTTCTGTATCCATTGAAATCTTCTGATCATCTCATATATCTTATCGTTAAAAGATGTCATATGATATGTTAACAATTATGATTTTTGAGAAATATAATATCTGATATCACATTTGCTAGATTGATCAACTGTCATTCCATCATTTTGAATAGTTTACAAAATCTATTAACAAATTTATAAAAACAAATCTATATGCATTTTTCATCTCTAGCTATCTACAATTTCAACAACTTGTTGTTGCAATAATGAATTTTGATTAATATAAAATGTGATGTCAGAATTTTAGCTATTTTGATAAAAATGAGTTTTGATAAAACTATTTATATTTGTTGTCGACTTAAGCTTTAATTGCCAAGTTCATATTTGTTAGGTTGTATTTAAATAATTTTAGAACATTGAATGCCAATTAACATGTGAATAAATTATAATCTGCTATATGAATAAACGTGAATCACTGACGGCTGCTTATCAAATAATGAAGACTGAAAAGTGTCGATAGATTGTGAAACGACCTGAGATCATCTTTGAAAATCTCGTTGGCAGAATAATCAGCGAGCACATTGAACTCGGGCCGCAGCCCTTGCGTAAGCCCGGAGAGATTAGCCAATTTAAGTGAAAGACAAAAAGATGTTGTTGGCCAGAACGATTAGCAAACCGGTTGATTTAACTTTCCATTAACCGGTATTCAAAAACGCGGGCCTAGGCTCAACGCAAAATTAACTCAATTTTGAACTATTCAACGTTCACAGTCCCGCCCCCTTTCTCCTCCGCAGGCGGCCTAAAAACTGTCATTTAAGTTGATCAATGCAATTTTCGCAATTTTGCGCAAATATACACCTAGAGCCGATAAGTCTGCGTGGTTAAATGCGTTGGCAGTTCTTAGTCATATGCTGACAACATTTACTCAATGGTGTCATTTACCCTATGGCGTTTTTTTCGTATACCCTTGTGCAGGGTATTATGATTTTGTCACGAAATGGGAAATTATGTCTGCCATTTAGCTGCAGGCGGTGCATAATCGGAGCCGTTCGGATTGGACCGCCATATCATATAGATGCGATAGAAACGATCGGGAATTATGAGTTTTTTAAGACATCTTGACCAATGTTCAACTACGCTGCCTACCAATAACTTTTTCATATACATAGTTCTTTAGGAAAATTCAAGTGAACAAAAATTAGTTTTTGTATGGAGAACTTTTCTTTTACTCAGAATTTTTTTTTAAGCAAACACAACAACTCGCCATTCTCCTGATATATCTGCAAATTCCTTGAGGAACAATTGTTTAGCTTTTATAATTCACATGTTTACTAGAGTATTTGCTAGTCGGAGTTTTTTGTCTTAGTCGTTACTTTTTGATATTTCCTTATGAATATTTATTGTGAAATATGTGTGTGTTTTCACATGATAATTGCACAAACTGTTGAAATCAACAGCGAGCAATTCAGAGTTGGGTAAATCAGTCAGGAACTTGTTTGACACTCAATTGACCAACTGGCGTCCAAGATCCCGTTGGCTGTGCCTAGTCGCGCTTACCTTCAAACACGAGCTTCCTTGTCCATATGTCCAATACATACAGACGCCACGCACACGCTGGGAATTGCCGTTGAGCTGCAATTAAAAGTGAAAAATAATAAACATTAGCCGAGTCTCTCAGAAGACGTGCATCCTTTAATGTGGTGCACCGCTAAAAAAACAAACTGCACCAGTTTAGCGCTAACTGTAAATGCAGTTAATTAAAGCCCGCTCTGCGCCGGCTTTAATTAGCATGGCTTAAAGAAAAAATAAACTAACGTGACATAGTCAGGTAGACAGCACACTGCAATGTTCTAACCAAAACTGCGGGAAACCTTGTGAAAGCGCCTCGGGCTCGGCTTACAGTTTATACCACGGCCCCAGCTCCAGGGCGTTGCCTGTAGCGGAAGCCAAGCACTGGCAGACACAGCGCGCCAAGTCGACCCTAATTTCCTATTTAAATATTGTCAAAGCCAAGCAACAAGAAATGCAACAAAACAACACCCAAACACACACACACACTCAGGTAATCCAATACACATCGCTTCGTACAGGGCTCGAGTCTGAGTCTTCCGTCTGGCGATGGGGCCAGGTCTTGACAAGTGTTCAAGCAAATACAAATAGAACTTCCTGCAGTCTGTTGGCCCAGACATGCGTTTCGCCTGAACTGTGCCCTGGAGACAGAGAGAGAGAGGGCCGTTCTGCGTTTCAAACCAGAATTTCATATGCATCAGCAATAGTTGACGCATTTTAAGATTTGGTAACTAGGTAAACAAAAAGTCGAAGCACTGATTGAGGTTCTCAGTAAACGTTTAAACTTCGCTTGCAAGCTGTCAATATAACCTGCGAGTCTGTATAATTGAAAAAGCTATGTCTAGCCTTTTTTTAGGTTTTCTACGCCATAATTATTACTCAAGTAAATGCTCAGAAAATATAACTTCCAGATACTGTAATTTTAAATACATTTTAAAAGAAACAAGAAATGATAAGGGGCGAATATTAATATACATATAAGTATAAGTTATATGATTATCTTACCCATGAACATTTTAAACTATCTTGAAAGCCCCAAAAAATTTCTGGCTTTTTGAGAGAACTACTCTTGGTAAGTTCTCGCTCGCATTTCGCATTCCAATGTATTTTCTCAGTTACCTCTAAACCAAAAACTTCAATGAAATTGAGTTTAAACAACTTTGAAATTCATTCGCTGCTCAACGAAAATGGTAAATAACAGAAAAAGCTACAATAAGCACTTTCAATCGTTCGGTAATTATACATAATCGGCAACAGCAGCAAAATAAATGCGTTAATAAGTAAATACATTAAATATTTAAACAACAAAAAAAAGGTGAAAAAAAAACTAAAAGGCAACAAAACAAAATCAAATTCAAAGCACATAAATAAAGTGCAAAAATGCCAAGGGAAGAGATATATATATATATAGAGAGAGAGAGAGGGAGAGAGAGAGCGAGAGGGAGAGAGAGAGCGAGTGATCAGTTAGGATGTGTCGGGAACTCGAAATTCCGAAAATTAAATTATTGACAAAGAAAAATGCATATGAAATGCATTAAACATGTTCCCCCCGACCACTGTAAATTAATGCCAACACAATGTCACTCTGCTTATTTATATGCATTGCTCTGTTTTTTTTTTTTGCTTTTCGTAAAGTGCAAAAAGTTAACAAAAACAATTTTGAAGGGGGAACAAAAATAAAATAAAATAAAATATAATATAGGCAGCCGTCTGAGCGACAACTGCACCCACTGCAAAAAGAGACACAAAAATGCTGGAAAACAAGTTTCATTTCAGTTTGAAATGAAGTTTTAAATTAAAAACAGCTGTACACATGTGGAGCGAATGCAACAACAAACAAAACAACAACAACAACAACAACAAGTTAACAACCCAACGAAAGTTCAGGGCTATTATTGTTGACGACTCGCTCTGAGCTGAGCTTTGTGAAGGTGTCGTTCCGAAAGAAATTCCACTGAAAATGCTGTGAAAAAAACACACATACAAAAACAAAAAATGGCCAACTCTGGTCTCGAGGGCTCTAAAAATAGTCGATTTAGTCGATTGGTGGTCGCCTTTTGTTGTAACTGGGTTATGAGTACCGCTCAGAATAAAAGGGTTTCAGCTGCTGAGAAGCGCGGCTCTTCACAAGGTTCATTCACATGCTGAAAAGAATGTCTATAGATAACTGGGTTGCAAAGTCAAGAAACTAGAGTTACGAGCCAGGAGAAGTACTTAAATGCAAATACTAAGCAGCAGTACCTAGAAGAATGTTAAATGTGCTCTTTTTATACCCTGAACCCATTGAAAATGGGTAAAAAGGGTATTATCTATTTGTGCAAATGTATGTAGCAGGCAGAAGGAAGCATCTTCCCATCAAGTATACATATTCTTGATCAGCATCAACAGCCGAGTCGATCTAGCCATGCCCGTCTGACTGTCCGTCCGTCCGTATGAACGCAAGGATCTCATAACCTATAAGAGCTAGAGACTTGAAATTTTAGCTGTAGGTTCTCCTAGTGCCATCGCAGATCGAGTTTGTTTCCGATATTCGATAACTTGTCCCGTTTCCAAGTAATCGATAAAAATCGATATTGAAATCCTGTTTTTTGAACAATTTCGGCAAATAATATGAGCTAGAGTCACCAAACTTGACATGTAGCTTCTAGAATAGTATATATATATATCAAGTATTTTTCATTTTATACCTATCGCCTGTTGGAAGAAGAGGGTTCAGGGTATCCCCTAGTCGGGAGCTCCCGTCTAGAACCTCTTACTTGTTTCATGCTCTCTTTGCGCTATCTGCAAAACATTTATTTTGATGTATCTAAAAAGGGGTAGTTTTTGTAATGAAACTGTCAGTTGGAATGCGTATGCCCTTTCTTTTCCCTAATGATATATCTCACATAAACTATTCCAAGCGTTTTGTTTCAAAGAGGACACATCCCAGCTCGCACTCTTTGTTAGATCTGAGAGTTGATTTCAAGCGAATTCCTAGCAATTCTCATGTAACTTGTTGTTCTTTCTACGCTACACGTATCTCGGTAGACTTCACATGGCCCGCATGTTTTGCATTTGTATTTCCGCAAAATTGTTTTCAACCTAATGTGCTTTTTATCTGAACAATTTAGCATGCATGTTAGCCTGCTCACAAGGTCCGGGTAACAATTGGAAACAGGGCGAACCGCAAAATTAAATTGTTATCTATGCAGAGTACAAAAAAACAAAAACAAAACAAAACATGTAACGAACTGAGGCATTTCAAATAAGCAACGTTTAATTGAAAAACTGTAAGATAAATGGGCCTGCTGTGCGGTCCCGAAACCCACTCCCCCCCCTTCCGTCTGTGTTCCCCGCTTGCGCAATCATTTGTCTGAGGAGGAGATTCTTCAAGCGTCGGCGGCTTGCATATAGCATGCCTTGTTGTATCAAGACTGAAGACTCATAACTGATTAATAGCCAAAGCTTAAACGAAATGAAAGCGAAAAGGTTTTAAATTATCGCATTAAAACGCACAATGCCCGACGTGTCGTCTTGACTGCGTGTGTTATGGTGTGGCCCAAAGAAATGCAAAGCCTCGGTTCCCAATCTCCACGCCCGCTCGCTGGCCGACAATTCTTTACACTTGAGAAGCGACGAGAGAGGTCGCTGTCGTCGACGTCGCCGCTCGGCTCGTTGATGATGTAAACGAAATTCAAATTTATGGTAATATCAAAGAAATAACAGTCAGATTTTAAATCGTGTGGTAAAAAAAAACAAAAAAAAAAACAGAAAACAAAACCCGACTAAACATAAATGTTGCGCTCTACACAAATATCAAAAGTGAAAGTTTTCACTTTTGTTTCAGTGCGTTTTTGAAAACATTTTCCGTGTGCGTTTTTAATGTGCCTTTTAAATGAAGGCAATTTTTCACTAAACATCTCTGCCCCCGCCTATATAAATCTGGCTAATTGAGTTTTCGTTGCAGTACATTGCATGGAGAATATAGCCTAAGAGACGAGGCCTATTTAAAGAGCTACATTTTAGAAAGCTTGATGAAAACGTACTTTTGATAAATAGGCAAACAAAATTGTTATACTTTGATTTTTAGGGTGAACATATTAATCATATCATAATCATTTTAAAGTGCTGCCAATTTAGATTCGACTGGAAATGTAATCAAAAGATATTCAGTGCTGCCAATTGAAAGTTAACTCTAAGTTTGGCTTTTACCCAAAACTTATTACATTTCAATCTTAAAACTTGGTATAATTAATCTGTTTAAACAAATAGTATGGAACATTCTTGGGGATATTAGATATGCCTGTTAATATGATCTCAACTGTCAACGGCATAACAACATTATTATTCTGATTATCATCTGCTCAGTTTAACACTTTATGCCCAAATCGTGTCCCAGACCTAATTGATTTGTTATCTGAGTTAAAATGTTTGCTTAGAAAGTGTCTGGGAAGTAATGCGCTGACAGCGTCTCGTGCTGATGTCTAAATGGTGCCGATAGTTGGAATTTTGTAGACCACTCTCTCTCTCTCTCTCTCTCTCTCTCTCTCTCTCTCTCTAATTTAAAAAACAACACGAAAAACGTAGGAATTTTTCATTGAGCAAGCACAGACAAAAGCAAACAATTTAAGTGAAAAACTCAGCGGGATACTAAACAAGAAGAAGAAAAACAAAAACTTTGGGGGGAGGCGCATTATCAAATATCAGCCGACACTTGGTAGATACCCGGCTCCACGAATTGAAGAGGCGGAACAGTCTGGAACTTAGAACTATGCCGCACATGTCACAAAAAAAACAACAGAGACATTCAAAGGCAAAATTTACATAATTTATTTAAAACTTAAGTCTGGGCGACTTTGGATCAGAGACTGGAGACTTGAAACTTATGTAATCGATCCATAAAAACTTGTACAAAATGCAGTTCACTGAGAAACAGAGCACGAAAGAGAGAGAGAGAGACAGCACTGAGATCTGGGCAGTCTGGTATCGCATCTGGTCTCTGAGTCATCGGCTTGTGACATTTTTCTTGAGCGTTTAAAGTTTTGACATTTGCATATAGCCGCCCGAAAATGGCTGACAATGAA